GTTTAGGAGGCTTGGGGTGGTTTCTGGTGGGTTGGTTAGTTTGCTTGGGAGAAGGGGTTGAAGTATATGTTTGCAATGAATCAGTCTTTTAAGTATTCATTTCATTCCTTCAAATTGAAAGACTGTCATGTGAAGACATTCTGTAGCTGATCTAGCGTACAAAAAGAAAGTAGGGAAAAAACCATTTCCTCTGTGCAGCTCATGTAAAACTGAACCATTACTCAGACTCCTCTAATAAGCACATGCATGCAACTATGAAAATGAGTTAAATGAAATCTATTAATATGCATACATTCATTAAGTGTTACAAAACCAGCTTTGGTAGAGAACAGTTACCTGGTGATACTGTTGCTTGCACCTGCATTGTGAGCTTTAAATCTTGCCAGCTGGTGTTTCTTCAACAGTTTTAACTCTGAGGCTTTCAGCTGGTTCACTTTCCCACCCAGTGGCTTCTCTTACCTGATGTTGTCCATGGTAGCCTGTGTTTTCTGGTAATCTCATGAGCCCAGGGAGTCTCTCAGGACGCTGTTTTCTCCAGTACACAGCTCTCGGGTGCCATGCTTTGCAGGGCTGAATGCCAGGTCCCCACTGGCCCCTGCCCAAACCTCTTCTGTTCCTAATCAGGCAGTGGGGTATGAGCATGGCCCAATTAGCTGCCAAACAGGAGGCTGGAAAGCAGTGTGAGAGTAACCCATAGAACAGGGCAGGTGCATATCTGTCTTCATACATTTATGGGGTCTTTGTGGCAGCCAGAATCCCTGTTAGACACCATTTGCCTGTGTCTTTGTGAGGCCCATCCATTGCAGCCCGAGGCCTTTCTGAAGGGCGATGTCCTCAGACTGCTCAGTGCTGTGCAGGTGGGTACAGCCTGCTGGGACTTGGGATCTTTGATTACAACAATTGGCACATGTGATGTTAACTGCAGTGGCCATGAGTTGTTTCCTGAATGGAGTCTAAGTCCAGGGCTTGATGGGCTAAAGGCTAACAATAACTGTTTAAAAGATTGCTTCATATCTATTACCGTATCATGTTTGGAGGGATTTGAACAGACGCATTGGGTTTAACTGGAGTTAACAGTTGGCAAGATACTGCCACAGAAGGAGCTTTAATTCCAGACACCATCTCATCTTAGTGGCCAAATCTCTTGACTATTAACAGTCTGTTCTAGGGCAAGGAGGTTGTGTTTTCCTTTGTGTGAGGATACAAAGCTTGGTGTTAACCGAGATAGGCTAAAATATTCCTTTGAAGATGCAAGAACTGAAATGGAGAGCTGTAGTGTTAATGCTTGAAGCTGATAGTGAAGTAATGATTTTGTTGCTCAATGACCTGCTGTGTTTTAGAAGTAACTAAAATTCTTGGACTACACTTGTCAAGTGGTTTGGGCTGTGCTTTTTGTGTGAATATTTGAATGTATATAAAAGTTTCATGGTATATTTATATGCAACAGTATTCACTAGCAAAACTCCTGGCTGCATTTAAACAAGTCATCTGTATTCCTGCTTGTCTTTGTCTTACAGTGTTTTTTTATGCTCTGTTTCTTTCTGTATAGTTCTCTTGATGTTATAAAATGAGACTTGATCTTTGGTCAGGGACAAGGTTTTCATACTAATTCAAGGACATTTTCAGTAAAACCAGAACTGAATAGTTCATATTGTTGCTTCCTGCTCTTCCTGGGCTTGGACTAACATGTTAAAGGTACTCTGCATTTCTGTGACCTCTCACATTTGCAGTGGAGTTGAGATGAGTCCTTCATTTTTCTTCTGTTTTCTCATATTTTCCACCCCCACCACCCAATCACTGATATTCCTTGAGAAAAGGCTTAAAATAGTTGGGATGGCAGCACACTACATGGATTTGTAACATTCCTTAGAAGCAAAGTACTGCAAAGCGGTGGAAATGAGGTTCTTTGTGTGTATTACTGCCCAGAAAACATAAATGGGGAATGCAAGGGAGTTCCTGGGGACAAAAATGTCAGAGTGAATGCTGACCTTTAACTTCACTAAAAGGCAAGCTGAGTTCCATGCATTTCTCTGTGTGCTATGCAGTTAACCACCAGGTATCTACCTTGACATTAGAATATTAGCCTTTAAAAGCTCACCAAGCAAATCTGTAAATTACAATTTATTTAAATTTTAGGACCTTAACAGTGTTTTGCATAGCATGATGCACTAGACAGATGAATGTACTGTGGAATTCGTTTAGGCAAATTACAATTTGAGGATATGTACCGTGTTGCTAATCTCTAATTATCTACTCCAGAATAGGGAGAGAAACTGTATAAAATTAACTGCTCGACAGCCCCGTCTGCAGAGTGATGTTCAGTGTGAGGAAGGACAAAAAGCTGCTCTTTAGTCAAAAGTTTAGGGCTTAGACTGTGAGACAGAGTTAAATTATCTCCAAGCCAGGGTCATCTTCTCACCTTTCCTGAGTTGAGGCTGTACTGTAAATCAGTCCAATAGCTCCATTTAACTGATCTGCCGACAAGTGAATGATTAACTGAAAACTATCAAGCAGACAGAAGCAGAACACTGCTCAACAACTGCAAAGTAAAATAGCTCTTGAATACAGATTACCTGACTAAATTATTTGCCAATGAGTTATTCTAGCTGACTGAAGTTCAGAAGCATTCTGGTCTGGGGCTCACCTCGAGAAGTCCTAACAAAGCCTCTTTAAATCCTCTCTGTGAATGCAGAGGCAAATACCTTGGCAGATCTGAAGGAGCAGAGAAGGCTGTTGCTACAATGCCAAGTCTCAATATCTAGCAGTACCTATCCAAAACCACAAAGCTCCAAAATCAGGAAAGGGCAGGTTAGAACGGTAAAATTCCTCATTTCTTCCTGTGTGGACTCTACTGAAATGGAAGCTTGTGATCCAGTTGACTTGTAGCCTGTGTGGACACAGTTACAACACCCTAATCCAAACACTGACGTATTTTAAAAACTGCCAGGCTGCTTCTCTGATTTGTTTTTGGAGAATGCTTGGATGGCTGTCAGTGCCTGACACATGAGTGTAGTATTATGCAGGAATATTTCAGCAGCAGCACTGTTCAGAAACAGGATCTCCTGAATTGCTGCTTGCCAGTTACTTGCCAATACCTGTGACTGTTGAAATGAGCACCGTCATGTCCTGTCAGGCCCAATACAAGTCTTGTGAAGGCAGGCCTGTAGAACATGGGGCTTTTCCATAATCAATGGAACAGTTCCTCATGACAGCTTGTGGGGTTTTGGGGACACCCTTGTGTTACAGTGGTAATACACTGGAGTGGGCTGCAGTATTTTCACACATGTGCTCATTCTCTACATAGCCTTTGAAATCCCAAGAAACATTTCAGGTATTTATAGGGAGGAAGCTAAAGTGGCATAGGCTATTAACTCATGCTGAATGTTACCATTTGCATTAGATATTCCCTGACTCTTAAGCCTTCTCTGAATGTTTGAAAGCATAGCAGATCCTCAGTAAACATGAGGCTTTACTTTAATGGGTGTGGTGGTCTTTTCTGTTAAACAGAATCCATGCTAACTCCTGTTTGTCTCACACTTTTAGATCTCATTAACAAAATAAAGTGAGGAGTGATACTGTCATTAAAAGAGCTTTCTTTCCTCCCCCCTATAATTTATATTTTTATAACTGTTTTATGGCCTCAATTTGCTCAGGAAAACTTAGCAAGTTACAGATCATTTTAAGACGTCTGGTTGAATTTTAGTGGGGGTGTTGAAACTTACCCCTGAAATTTCAGAAGTTGCAGAAATAGTTCCCTAAACAGTGCTAGATATCATACAAACCTATCTCATTTCCCCTGTGTTATTGCTCCTGCCCATACAGCCGGAGAGCTGTCATTACAGCGGCTGGCTGGCCTAATGACGGCCTTGCCGGTGTATTGTGGGCACCCTGGGCACACTGAAGCGTTAAAGTGACACCCCTCGTGTGCGCAGGGGTGTTTTAAAGTTATTTTTACCCGAGCGTTGCTGTTTTTCCAGAGTTTCTGTGGGGAGCCGCCCAGCAGAAGCAGGAGCAGGAGCATCCCCCTAGGGGCTGGGTAGAGGAGAGGGGACTGAAGCCTTGGGATTAGGGGAAGTGATAACTTGCCCCTAAAACAAATTATGGGTTTTAAAGTGTTTTATTTTAGTGTGGCTCTATAGATATAGATATATACAGGGCGGGAGGGGGAGAGGATCTCACCTCCCGGCCCCGTCCCCCAGCCCGGGGCAGGCCGCACTCCGCGGAGGGCTGCGCGGGCGGGCGGGCAGCCTGGCGCCGCGGGCGGGGAGGGGCGGGAGACAGGCAGGGAGAGAGGCAGGGAGGGAAGAAGAGAAGGAGGGAGGGAGAGAGAGAGAGGGAGGGCGGCCGCAGCCTTGGCGCCCAGGCGGAGCCGCCTTTCCTTTTCCCTTTCGCCGCCGCCGAGCCCCGAGCGCGTTGCCCTGCGGGGGCGGGCCATGGCCGCGCCGGGCAGCGGCGGCGGGAGCCGGGCCGGGAGCCGGAGGAACAGCGCCTGAACTTCCTACAAGTCCTGGAAGAGGAGCCCAGAAATAGTTGCTGGGGTGAAGGCGAGAGAAACTGGGTTTCGTTCCCGAGGTCCCCGCGGTGCGGTGTAGCCGGTGGCTGCGCCCGTGAGGAGGAGCAGGGGGAGGAAGAGCAGCAGCAGCAGGAGGAGGAGGAGGAGGTAGGGGAGGTAGGTGCGGGTCCGTGGTACCCAAGGAGGGGAACCGGGGCGGCCTCGGCGCCGTCGTTCTCCTCCTTCTCCGAATGGTTCGCAGCCAGGATGTGCTGCTGTTTCGGAAGAGCAGCGCTGAAGCGTCTTAGGCAACGCTGCTTTGTCGAAATTCAGGTACCCTTGAGGAATTCAATTTTATGGAGGTTAATTAAAAGGCTGTTGTAAAGTAATATGGCTAAAGCTCTTTTGACAGCTCGTCCTTTCTTTTTTTTTTTTTCTTTCTTGTGTTTGTGTGTGTGTTTATGTGTGTTTTCCTCCTCTAGCAGCTCATAAAGGTGTCAGTGCTGCTTCTGAACGTGCAGTAGTTTTGCAGGATGGAATGCGCCTTTCTTACTCCCCATTGAACTTAGGATGCGTTGTTATGCGGGTAGTGCATTTCATCACAGCACAGCAGTGTCACCTGAATGCCCTTACGGTTCTTCTTGCACTGAAGAATTCTGTGAATATCACTTGCTGCAGTGTCCTTGTAGCTAAGGTTTGTTTATAACTTCTTTCAGACATTCCAAGTGGCTTTATAGACACACATAGAATGAGACTGTATTTTTAAGGCTTGATGTTAGAGTCTTCTAACATTAGTGTTGTTTCAGTCTCAGTGTCTAAATATAGTTCTGACCTTTTTTTTTTCCTTCACCTGCACATCAGTCTCTTCAATGGCTGTAATATGAACTAATGGTAAAAACAGAAGCTGCATATGGAGGAGTCTTTTCCTGAAGGCTTTATGATACTTTAGATTTCAGGAAAAATTGTTACTAGCTTTTGGAAAGCATGTTGGAAAGTTCAATGTTGTTAAGGTAGTCTCCATACATGGTATTTCTTGTAACATAAAGCCAGAAAACTGACCTGTTTTTTTAAAAGATACTTTAAGATTCTCGTTTAGATCAGAAATGCAGCACAATTGACTTGCCCCTGTCAGTGAGAAGTACTGGTTGTTTTAAAAACCTTGGCAAAGCTGAAGAAGTAGGCACTAGTGATTACATGATAATGTAACATAATAATAATAACAACATAATGTGTTAAAATTGCTTTCCAGCCTCGAATTCCCACCTGTGATGTAAATTACAGCCTCGCCACATCTGATGCTGTTGCACTAAATTCTGTTTTCTGTACATAAGCCACTAATCTGTGAATCCTTATGAACTGAACCTTCTCATTCTCTGTGCAGCCCAGAAATATGTGAGAGTTCAGTGTATGCTCTCACCTGTGGGAGTCTGTAAACTCTCCTGAAGAATGGATGTAGAATACTTGCTGTGGCTGCACTGATGTAACACGATGAATCACCTGGTGATGAACTGGATGGGCAATTTGTATAGTGCTAAAGGGTCTTTCTCCTGCTTGCTTTTTATATTTCCAGTGTTTAATTTGTTGTCTTTTCATTGTCCAACAGTTTTATGGTTCTAGGCAGCCATCAATTCTGTAAAGCCCAGACTTCAAAAGTGATTTCTGGATTGTGGCCTGTAACTTGGATTTGCATATTCCATTATATTATTATCCAGCTATATTCTGTTATATGGATTTTACCTTTTGCTGATTACAGTACATAAAACCCTGGAACTCTCTCGATGTTCCGTGTGTTAGCAGTAACATCCCTCTTAAACAGATTGGAATTCTGTATTTATGTAGTGAAACCGAGGGAGAGCCATTGGTGACTTCTGTTGAAGGTCATGTAAGAATGTGTCCAGTAAATCTGGAATTGAAGTGTGATGTTCTCTCATTTCATTTTCATCCAGAGGGGTAAAATGAGGCTGGATTGTTTGCCTGGTGTTTACTGAAGTCTGACTGCCCTCTTATGTAGAGCTGACTATGTTGCAGGTAGCTGCTGTCAGCTGTCTCTAAGAGCTCTTCAAAGTAGTTTATGGTGCTGTTGCTGCAACTCCTGAGCTGTGCTATCCTTAGGCATCTACATTTAAAATTTAATTGGACCTGGTATATAGGCAGACTGAGAAGGCACACCAGGAAATATGCAGGTAGCAAGTGTAATACAAACTGGATTTTTTTAATATACTCTGTGTAAGTTGTAGCATCTGAGACACAGTGATCCTTGTGGGTACTATGGACACAGGCTAAATGGAATTACTGGAAGATGGAATTACTATGGAGATGTGTTCAGGATTAAAAGACAACTGCCTCTTACTGGTAGTATTTGTTCTTAAGACCTGTTTTATTACTCAGGGTTTGCTTACCACAGCAGAGAACCTGTGTTCTGTCATGTAAAAAATATGAATGCAAATAGGTCTAATCCAAGCCACGGATCTTGTTATAGGCCAGTTAAGAGTAATTTACTGGAGCTTCTTTTGGGAGGTGGGGCAGAAGGGATGTTCTTGGGTGCAGTACAGTCATGGGAAGGTAATGTTTGCCTGACTTCTCCAAAGTAAATTTGATAGAGACAAAAAGAGGGTAATTACTTATTTCATTCCTTTGGTTGCATTTTCACTTTATTTGCAGTCCTTTCCTGTAACTAGAAAGATTCAGTTGAATTGGACTTTGCCCATGTTGCTGCAGAGGAGTGGTGCTACTAGAAATTTTTAAAACTGCTAGGTAGTGGGTGGATGTGTAAACAGGGAGCTTTTTCCTTTATAGTAGTGGCTCAGTTCTCAACTCTCTCAAATTATGCTCTAGAAAGGATTGTGGAGTTAAGCCAGGGACTGACTAGAGTATTTTGGTTAGTGCTCTGTTTTTTAATTCAGGTGAAGTCTTGCTAGAGGTCTACCGTGGTGTCTAGTGTTACTGTATTAAAAATTGGATGTAATGTGATATTTAAAAGGATGTATTTTTGTGAATGAAACCTATTTTCTCCAGAACCTTGTTATTGAACAGCTTCTGGCCATCCCTTTCTCTTTAGAGATTAGCAGTCTGTGTTTTGCCTTTGGCTTTTTATGAACCACTTGACTTCACATACAGTGCCTCATCCTGTACTTGTGTTGCACTGGATTCTGAATGTCTTATCTTTAATTTCCTGTGTGTCAGCTGCTGTCTGGTAACAAGAATGGGACACTATTTCTCCATAGAGAAGTTGAGAAAAAGTTGACTTTCTGGGTTTTCTACAAGATTGTGTAAGGCCCAGTGATATGTTGAGCCATTATCAGTGCATTTGTGGAGAAGTCTGAGGAAGTGATGAAAAGCATGCCAAAGGTGATACTTTTTCTAAAGTTAGAAGAAATAGGGTAGTGTTAATAGTGAATAATAGGGGTGCCTCCTGTGCCTTGCTTTCAGTTTCTTTAAATGCAGGCTCCTTCTGTAATTGGAATCACAGGTGAGATTTTCAGCAGCTGGTTTAATGATGGTTCAGTCCCAAACTAAGTCCTTCAGGGCAGATGATTGGTGTATAGGGAAGTGGCTATATGCTGTTCCAATGGATAAGGATCCTGGTGATGCCTCCAAACATGCTTGCAGGGAGAGTCTCTTGGGGGTTTTGTCTGTTCTTGTCCCTGCTTCCCTTGTCTTACTCAGAGTGAGAGTGATTTGCCCTGGCCGTAGAGGTATTTAAGGCAATGTGGCAGCAGCTGGAGAGGCACCAGATGAGTACACAATTACCTGATCTAGCCTTGGACATTCTAGGCAGAGGTTGAAGCATAAGCACCCAGTAAATTTTTGGTTATAGTGTTACCATCTTTAGGCCATTACCATTTTAAAAAGAAGACAAAATGTTTCAGTCCAGAATAAAACAGTCTGATTAAACTTCAGAAACCTTTTCTAATACAGTTTTCTTATATAGAAGGGAGTAAAAGGAGGATGTCATACACTGCTAAACTATGTTGTATTTGCCCGTTGCATGCAGCTATGAGGAAGCTGTACTGAATATTTTATAGTCAGGCATTCATTTGTGGGTGTAGTAGATTTGTGTATGCTCTCATGGTGTCAGGGTTCTGCTCTTGCCATGCTCTTTCTTTACTGCAGGCAAGGGTCAGCCTGAAAATTGATGTTGTTGTGGCTTCCTGCAGGAAACAGTGAAAATCCTGCTGGCTTGTTAAATCCATGGAGAGAATGGACAGTGTAGCTGTTGATAGGCTTGAAACTGTGCCAGGAGGGCTGGTGGCTTCTGATCTGCTCTGACATTTTTGTGTTTTCTCCTGTTCCAGGCCCCCGTAAGCCTTTTTTAAGTTTTAGCTATTTCTGGACAACACTGGTCTCAGCATTAATCTGTCTTGCAGGTTATCTACATTATCTACATCTTTCACTGGTGGCCAAGTTTGATTTGAGGGGACTTACTTTGATATGTGGATTTTCTGAAGTTCCCTTCCCCTTTGGTCTGTTATCAAAGTTGAGCTGGGGGGCTGCTTGTTTTTAGTTCCAGGAAATGTTGTAACCAGAGGTAGAGATTCTCTGCTGACTGTGTCTGTTAAACTCACTTGTACCTGGCATCCTTTAAAATTCTGCAATTTCCACTTTTGAAGCTGTGGATTAAAATGTCTCTACTGTTTTCTCTCCATTATTACTTCATGTAGTTATCACAGCATTAGTGATTTTACCTGCTTTTTAAACCACAGCTGTGTTCCTAACTGCAGTGTGTAAAGATTAAGGCAAGTCTGTCCCTGTTTCTGTAGTCAGACCTACAGTTCAGATGTAAGAAGCTCTCAAGAGCTGATATGCTCAAGGCAAATAGAAATTGAAAGAAATCTCTGATCCGCTGGAGCTTAGTGGCAGAGTGAAAATGCAGTTCTTCCAAGTTTGTCAGTTCAGCTTAGTGTTGGTGACCCAGGCACGGCTCAGAGGAGATGCCTCAGGGAAAGAAAATAATCACAGCCAGTGATCTTCCAGGCAGCTTAAAGAACAAAATGTGAACATTACAGTTTTGGTTTCTCAGATGATTTATTCTTCATCTCCCCAGTAAGATGAATAAATTCTTCCTGAATTAATCTGGTTGACACTTCCTCCTTTTGTTTTTTAGAGGTCTTTCAGCTTCAGATATGAAATAAAGCTCAGTCTTCCAAGACTACAGCTTTATTCCATACGGCTCCTGTGCTGACATTTAAAACTCTGACACTAAAAATAAGAAACTGAAGGGATGAGAGAAATACAACCTGTATTGTGAAAATGAGTACAGGCATCTTGGAAACCTTTGTAACAAACTTTGGTTTACAAGAGGAGAAGGACAGTGAGTGATATCAATCAGGGAACACCTAATCCATTTTAAAGCTTTACTTGTTTTTCTGTGATGACCAGTAAGACAGATAAAACACGGGGGTTTATGCTCAGTTCCTGATACTGGACCTCAAGTAGATAAAGGTTGACACAAGTGCTAGGTAAAGTCTAAGCTTAGTGAAACACTTACTGGAAGTGGTGCCTGTTGACTGTTTTAGTGGACCTATTATGATGGGGAAGAGCTCAGTTAACCTTTACAGCTCAATTTTAGTGTGTGGCAATGGGAAAACACTCTTAATCTCATGCTGGTATAAAATTGTGGAAGGTGTGCCTTGCAACAAAGCTTTTAACAGTAGCTTTCCAAAGGAAAAGAGAAACCAATTTGAAACCCATGGTCTGTGTAACTGTGTTGAATAAACTGTGTTCTGGTCAAATAAAGGTGTGGAGAAGCTTAACCCTGCTCAACACTGTAATTACCTAATTGGTGAAGTAGGGAACAATCAAATTAAAGTAAATGCAATTGTAGCTAAAAAAAAGTTTCTGAGTATCTTGTAGTATGGGATGATCTATCACTTAGCTGTGATTATAGTGGTTGTAAACATTCCTTTTTGTTCAAGTCATCAGATAGGTCTTTGAAAATTAACTTAATTTTAAATGGCAAAAATAGAAATAACAACATGGAGTTTGATGATCTGGCTTTTGAGAGCAAGAAAAATAGTGAGTTGACTAACTGAGACTAGTTGAGTATCGAGAACAAATCTTTTCACTGGATTCCAGGAGCTTTGGCCTTTGTGCCAACATAAATATGGGTGTCTCTCTAATAGCAGAATTGCATGGGATTAGTTTGTGCTTTTTGGAAATTTATGATATGAAATATAGAGTTTACTTTTATACTTCCCTGTTTTAAGAAAATAGGGAGTCAGTGTTGAACTGGGCACTCCTTTTTCCTCTGGCTATTTTGAAGAGAGGAGGTCTCGCTCTTTCTAAGCCACTTCTCTCATGTTTGTGAGTTGATCAAACACATCTTGCTCTAAAGCTGCGCTGCATTCAGTGAAGCAGCTCAGATGACTGTGCTGTGCTGTGCTGGCCCAAACAGAGGTATGTAGCTATGCAATGTTAATTTTGGCTGCTATAAGCGCTACTGAAGCTCCTGTTGTTATCAGTGGGGTCCAGTAAATAATGTGCTAGTTCTCAGGGAGGGCAGGTGAGGAAAATGCTGTCCTTCTGTGAGTAAAGAGGCATCTAGTTGACACTAAGCTTTCTGCCTTTTTGATGGCTTTATTCTCAGTCTCTTGTGTTGTGCCCTTCTCACATTCTGCAAGGAAATTTAACTGTTCCACTGAAGGGAAAGGATGACCTTACACCCTGTGTTCTGCCAAACACAAAATATGCCTGGTAAGGGGAAGGAGGGGCAGAGAAGGTAAATATTCAGACAGACACATGATGCTGCCTGTGTCCCTCTCTAAAACTCACATGAAGAATTTGTTTTCCTCATGTCGTCTTTCATCTCTGATGTGACATTTAAATGCGCTCAGCATGTTCTGACAAATCTGAAGTGCCCTCTGGTAGAGATTCATGCAGTTGAAAACCTTTGATATTGAAATAAATTGTTCTGAATGTAAAAGTTGGTGGCATTTCTCAGATGTCTGATACCAGGTTGTCATCTTCGATTATTTCTTCATGCCCTTTGTTCCTACAAAGTATTCTCTGCAGTGGGCCCAAATCTGTTTCCAGTATGTCTACACAGCTCAATGAGCTTTTGGATGCACTTGTGTCTTTGGAGAATGTGAGTGATTTCAGTGAAACAACAAAGAACTACAAGCATGAAAGTTTACAAAATAGCCATGATTGTGGCTTTATATGTACATATTAATGTGCATTTCCTGCCAGCAAAAGTTCTTGTCACACAGGTTTTCAACAATGTGAGTTAAGAGCTCCTGTACCTAAATTTTCCTTCTATGTTCACTTTAGGATAACATGATGGAATTCAGATTTTCTCAAGAAAAGCTGCAGATGTTGGACCAGTACCGTTGACGAGACCTCCTGACTGCAACACCCAGAGCAGGGTCCTGTGAGGAATTTGTCACAAGAAGCACACAATGGATCTCAAAGAGAGCTGCCCAAGCGTTAGCATTCCCAGCTCTGATGAACACAGAGAGAAGAAAAAGAGATTTACTGTAAGTATGTAGGAGAGTAAGCACTGTGGGCCAAGGCATAGACTATTGGTGCCTAGCAGCTTTCTTCTCTTCTGCTGCTAAGCTTCGTATTATTTTCAATAGGTTTATGGAAATCAGTTTCCTTGCTCTTGTGAGCAGTGGCCATAGGCCAGTGTGAAAAGTTGTGAATATTTTACAGTGTTTACCTGTATTGCTTCTACATAAAGAGCTTGCCTTTACAATTTTCTGCTGATTTTATCCCAAAATAGCTGCATTTGCTTGTATAAAATATCTAAGTATCCAAGTACAGGGAAAATATTCTGGAACCGTTTTTGGCATTCTACATGATTTTTATGAAGACATTTATTTTGTAAAGGGATAAAGTTTGAATTTGGTTCTTTGTGGGGGCTTGTTTGTTTGAACATCCATTCTTTCCGAGATATCCTATTATACTATTGTAATTTTTTTTTGTGTGTGAAATGAAAAAAAATATAAACCATCAAATTTTTTCTAACCCTTTTTTCTGTCTTCCTTCCTGTTTCTGGTTCTAATGCTTATGAGTTTTTTCCTATCCTGTTCCCATTTCCTTGTCATTTCTCTCCCTCTTGCTTTCTTTACCTTCTAGTTTGACTTCCTGGTTGTGAAGTCTTCCTATTGTGTGGGAAATTCTTTGCATTGCATACTGAAAAATAAAGTAGTGTGGTATGGATTTTTGTTTGGCTTTTAAATTACCCTAAATGACAAGATCAAAATACTTCCTTTAGAAGGCTCAGACTGTTTCGTTGCTCTTGTGCAACTTCCTCTAAGATTTTTTGTTTTCATTGAGTGAGTTAGTCACTCTTCAGATGAGGAATGCAAACACTGTGGAAACAATATGGAGTTGCTGAAGAATACAACAACACAATGTTTTACTAGGAGTTACGCTGTCTCCTTCTCCTCTTCACCTCCTTTTTTTTGGAGGAGAACAGTGCTCTTTGATTCTGCAAGTGTGTCAGGATGTAGCTTGGGGAAGGAGTGTGCCAGTAAAGGGAACTTTAAACAAAAGAGAACTTTACTAATTCATTAAACCTCTGCATTCATGTGAGCAGAAAACTCAGGTGAGCAGAAAAACCTTTGTGAAAGTCTAAACTTGAGCAGAGCAGTTCTGTTTTGTTGCCTCAGTGCTGGCAGTTCTGCAGTTAAAATTTGCCAGTGTGGTAAACTGAACAAGTACTAATGCTGTGGTGTCCGGGTCATTTTACCTGAAGGTCTGTGAGACAGCCTGGGCAGTGTAAAGGCACTTTCTTTGGGCGTGCCCTTGAGAAAGGAGTATGAAACATCAGAAATGGGGGGCAGAGAGAGGAGGAGGGAAGGAATCCAGCCTAGATTACACTGTGCAGAGGTACACTTTGTCCTGCTGTCTTCTGCTTTCTGTGCCAGGGAGTAATTAGCAGCTTGACAAGAAGTGCTTTCACAACCAAGCTTTCGAATATTATCACATATATTTTAGGATTTGGTAACAGAAGTGAGGGTCATACTAAACTTCATGGTAGAAACTGTGAATTCCAGCATGTGTCAGTGCTGTTTCTGTGTCCCCTGTGCTGTAGCTGTTTGTAATGACAGGATCCCATCAGTACTTTGGCAGGGAGTGAGAAAGGGGTACAGGGGGAAGCAGCTCATAGCAAATTTGTGGTAGGTATGACTTTCTGATAGCCACAGTAGTGCCATTTCTGTAAAGAGCAGTAAGAAGGGTTTTCACTTGGGGTGAGAAGAAAGGTCAGAGTGATAAAGGCTAGGAAGGATTTCAGGTGGCTGTATAGTCTTCACCTTAACATTGCTCACAGTGTGTTTCACTGCGGCTTCTGAGACTCTTCTAGAATCTTCCTGGTCTGAACAGAAACTGATTTTCAGCTCAAACCTCTCAATGGCTCACTTCATGCTGGCATGGAAACAAGACAAGTATGTGCAACTTAGCTTTTGCTAGCTCTGCTTTTTCCCCTCACACTCTGATAAAGCATTTTTAAAAACAATCATGTCTCTGAGCAGGCATCATTCTGATAATTAAAGGAGCTTTTCAATTTTGTCTCTGGAAGTGAAATTCTCATACCTCCTGATCATTTTCATGATCTTTTATTGAATATTTTATTTGGTTTTGTTAAATACTGCATACTTGTGATATATTCACTGCTACTTTTTTTTTTCTTTTTTCAAATGTTTACATGTTTGCAATTTTTGGGTTCTGGCAGGGAAACTTTTTTGCTCCCATTTAATGCATGGCAACAGCCTCTGTGTAAATCCATAGAGGCTGATCCTCATTTTTCAAAAGATTCAGCATTCACTTTCTCCATAAAAGGAGTAAAGTATTTCCTTGTTTTGGACCATATCTAGCCTATATTAATTGCTTTCTGTTGTTGCTGCATATTAGGTCATTCTTTTGCCTGTTTTGACAAATAGCTTTGTTTTGGGTTTCTCACTTTTATCCCTATGCTGTTTGATGTCTGAGGCCTAATTTTCTCTTCTGACCTGTTCTCATCTCCCTTTACACCCAGATCATATACAGCCTTATTAAAAAATCTCTTTCAAGGATGCTGTTTGTCTGATTAAATCTGAAAACTTTGTCTCAGACCTGTGATGAATAATATTAATCCCCAGCCCTGTGGAAATTGGGAGTTGGTTTTTTTTATTTGTTGACAATAAATAGTTTCCTTACTTTCTCAATGATTGCTCTGTCAAAATTGGAAAACAGTCTACCTTTTTATTATTTCTTTGTTTAATAAAAATCAAGCATTTAATCCAGGAGCATGAGCTGCCACAAACAGAGTTGAAGGCTTTTAATTTCAGTGACTTCTTTTGTGAAGAAATTCTACTGCATCCAGAAATAGCTGGATCCTGTCCTGTCTGTATCTAGGAAGACATTTTATGGTGATGTTTCCAGGAATTCTGTTCATTTTTCTTCCTTTTTATTTTTCTCAAAGCTTTGTGGTTTTTACCCACATACTGTGAGTTGTGATGCATCATATCTATGTTTAAGGAGTTTTCGAAGACCAAATTTGGATTAGGAATAATTAGACTTGAAAAGGTTATTATCTAAGTAAGTCTACACTCCTCCTCCCCACCTTTCTACAAATAAGCATTGCACATCCCTCTAATCATTACACCATAGCTGAGAGTAGTAAGACAGCCCTGACATGTCATGGTTTTAGTTTTTTATCAGATTCTTAGTGGATATTGTGTGTTTTCTTGCCACTCAGTGTGCCCATAACTGTTGGACTTGAAGCTGTTCCTCGGTTGGGGTGTGCAAGAGCTTTGTTGTGTGAACTGGATGACCTCATACAGGTTTTTCTATGCTCTCTTTTGTAAAAAATGTTGATTGTGTCATTGTTCTGCAGCTACTCTGAGAACAAAACTGTTTAAATTTAGCGGTTGCCAAGGAGGTGGATATCATCTCGTATCCTGAGTTCTGCTTGCCTGTGCACTCTGCTCTCTGTGCTTCTGCCCAGCTGCCTTGGCCCTCTGCTCAAGTGTGTTGGCATTGATGTGCTGTGCAGTCATGGGGAGCAGAGGTGTTTTGTGATGGAACACTGCTTGCAGGATTTGATTGCTGCATAAGTGACCCAGTTCACGAGGACAGTGCTCAAGTTTTGCAGCTGAAGCTTTTGCTGCCTACAGTGTAGGGAGGCTCTAGAGGGGGAGTGGGTTGGTTTTATGCTAACACTTGTTTAGCAGCATGAGGCAAAGTGGGTTTTCTTAGAAAGTCTCATCAGCATTCTGCTGGATGCTTCCATTCAGCTTCCTGTGCTCCCCAGGGCCAGGAACTGAGAACAGCTTATGTGAGCAGTTAGCAGAGCCTGACTGCAGCCCTCAGGCTGAGGAGCCGATGGTGGTGGCTGCCACTTCCACTGTGGGAGTTAGAGAGGGAGCCAAGGTGCTGCTGCAGGGCAGGAGGGAGGCTGGGGCATTGGTCCAGTAGTCTGCCCTGGGAATTAGCAGTGCTCTGCACTCATTTCCTTGCTGTGCCCATCCTTCTCCCTGCAGGAATAGCTGAGCTCCTTCTGGAAGTACAAGAAAGTAGAGAAGTGAAGATAGCTATTGCCTGAGAGACAGGAGAAGCCTGCTGGACACACAGCTGCCAGCCAGGTTCATGAATCCAGGGACTGACAATCTGTCTAGTTACTGAAGTCCTCTGTGGCATGGCCTTTGAAAGGCCTGAAGTGTGCAGTGGGTTCCAGCTATACCTCCCTTCATCACAGTGCTGTGTATTGTGTTAAATTTGCTGTATTTCAGCCACAGCACCACTTCTTCCTCCCTGAACAATTGTGCCATCAGCCAGGGTTCTTCTGTATTCAAGGTGTTTAAATGAACAGTTATCTTCATACCTTCCATATGTACTTTCTGTTTAGGTTTTGGTGAAGGCAGTCTTCGGTAATTTTAAATGCTTTGCTTCTTTAGTATTCATCTTTATTATGAATTACTGAGTTGTTAACAAATTTCATATTAAATTTTAACAGACTATCTGATGGTCAGGTGCTCTTTTTGGATAGTAAATGATTTATGAAACTCCACTAAATCAATTTTGGTGTTAGTTTTTGCTTACCTGGTGTTTAAAAAATTTTCTGCAAAGTATCAGATTCTTTTAGTTGTTCTTTTAATCATTTCTGTTGATGTCTGTGTGACTTATCAAACCATGTATTTCTTATAGCTAAGTGCATTTACATAATAAATTTAACAACCTGACCTTACTTGCACCATGAGATTAAACCTGAGAAGTTTTACTAAGCTTTGTGGGCCATAACACTGTCCTTGTTCCTCCAGGTTTACAAAGTGTTGGTCTCTGTTGGCAGAAATGAGTGGTTTGTCTTTCGACGGTATGCGGAGTTTGATAAACTCTACAACACGGTAAGTAAAAAGCAAGCTATGAAATCATGCCAGAAGAGCAGAGTAACACTTGCAGTGTTATGGTTTGAGTTAATCCTCTCTTGAGGAGTTTGAGTCAACATTTAATAACCATAGGAGTCTAATTAAAGAAGATGATGGAGTGGGTTTTTTAAACTTGGGTTTGTTTGAATTTCAGACTCAAAATCCACTTATTTGTCACGGTTTTTTATAGTTCCTTGGCATCATAGCTTGATGAAACTTCCAGCTTAGTTGTTGTCAAAACATATAAAATGTGCTTTTGTTCATGATAATAACCCCCACAAAACAGCTAGATAGATACATTCCTCCTGAGAAAGTGTTTTGCTTTGAAGTACTGAAAGCAATGACCAAATTTGTTTCTTAATAGAAATTTTGTAGCCAGTCATTGATGGCCGTTTCAGAGCAGGTATGATTCTTTGCACAAAAAAACACGGTCAGTGTTCCAAAAAAATAGCCCCCTTCAGCAACTAAGTATGGATTTCTTGTGTTTGTTGCTAGAAGAGGGTTTTTGTGTAGTGGGCAAGTGGGGTAAATACTTGTTCAGATGTGAGTATGAGTTATGTGTGCTGTGCCCATACTTTCCTCCAGTTTTTTGTGTTTAGAGACCACAATTTTTGCTTTAACGAAAGAGGAAATAATTCCCCTCTGATTCCCATACTAAAGTATCACCAGCTGCTTATTTGTGCCTTCCCTTCCACTGTCTCTCTGGGAGGTAGTCAGGCCTTCTCTCTTCTGCCTCCCTGTGCATGGATTTGCATGTGGCAGTGGTCTTCAAACACAGGCTGTGAGCTTGGAAATGTTTGAGCTGAAATGCCCCTGGATTCCCTGTGTTGTGCTTTGCCTGCATGTAGCAGGGATAAACCTGTAAGGGATGTGAAAATAAGAAAATCCTCCTTTCCGAGGGAGTGTTGGTGATCCTGTTTGCTGTGTTCTCTTGCCATTAGAATTGGCCTTGCTCTGCTGAAGTTTGTTCAGCCCTGGTCTCTCTAACATGGGCAGAGGTGAGGTCCTCAGAAAGCATACCCAGGAGGACATTTACTCCAGTTTCTGTTCAGAAATTTGTACAATATATACACCAAAAGAACTTGTGCTGCTAACTGAAAGAAATACTGGTGTTGCTAAGGGAAGAATTGCCAGCTACTGTATTAGAAAACTACTCTCTTAAAAAGGATGAGAGTAAAATTGTTCTTCTGGAGCGCTTGAAGGTGAAGTAAATGTAGTTGAGGCTTGATTAGTGCCAGGTTTGGGGTTTTCTTAATATACAATTCACTGTTGTTGTGTACGATCTTCTGGTCAGTTTATCAAGTGAAATAATAATTGAATTATCAACTGCAGGATCCTAAAATAGACTGTTCATCTACTTGTAGTTTTGATTTCTAGGGATAGACCACCTGTGATTTAAAGAATGTAATTTGGACAAAACCCAGATGCCTGTATCCCCTGTATCCCATCGTAAACCTCATGCATAGTGCTCTGTGCAGGCAAGCAAATAAAAGAAAAGCAAACCCAAAAGAGATAAAGAATTGATGGAGGAAGGAGGAAAAACAAAAAAGAACATTGAAATTTGGTTTTATAACCTGGGGCAAATAATTTTGCACTGTTGCTCTGGTAGTCTGTAAAATGAAGATGAGATGGCCTTTGAATTTAAAAGGGCATGCCTATTGCAAACAAACTGAGTACAGATTGTTCTGGGTATGTTTTTTTCCCCTTGTGTATGAGCAGAGGAAATGGCACAGCAGAGCAGAATTACTAATAATCAGGTGTTCAACTTGTTCATCAGAAAACAAACAAAGTGCAATTATTTCTAGGTACTTTAATGTCTAAGCACAATCCAATTTATGTGTTTTGTTTTCAGCTAAAGAAGCAATTTCCTACCATGAACCTGAAGATTCCAGCTAAAAGAATATTTGGAGATAATTTTGATCCTGGTATGTCATCATCTTGTTATTCATTTTGTCAGTTTCTTTATATGAAAATTGATCTATTCCAGCCTACAAGAAGCTGTCTTAGATGAGTTTTGCAGCGGTCCTCAAAACAGTGACTAAAGCAAAGTTTAGTCATGCTTCAGTCAAGAGCAGGAACTAGCGTGGGTAGGTGTTTTACCTTGTGATTGTGAACAAAGCATTGCTTGGTCGCCCAGTGCCTCTCTTGCAGTGAAGGCTACAGCTCCTCCCAGCCCTCCCATATTCAGGATTCTCATTCTGAACTGTCACATGTGACCTCTCTCCTATAAAAGCAAAAACCAAACCTCAAACTCTTCCTTAGCATTATGCGTAGTCCATTTTGAACTTTCTTTGTGTTACATGCCTCACAGCCATCTCTGGAAAATGAAATAACTCAAGGATTTATCTTTGAGGACTTTTGACCTCTCTGTATCTAAATGTGCTTCCTTGTACAGTTCAGGTGAAAACGAACTTCTTCTATAAGTGGAACAACAGGAAGCTTGTCTGATATGAACGTGATGTGTGTGAGATACCAGTGATAGCTAGCCATTTAGCTTGCTCTGTACACAGTGAAATACAAATGAAAGTCACTTGAATATTCCCTTGAAGTGGCCTGGGTGGCACCACGGATGAATTAATAAAAAAGCAAATGGGAAGGCCAGGCCATTGCTCTGTGTGTTTGTACAATTCATTCAAGCCATTTGCACTTCAGGTTTTTCCCTTTGGACCCCTCCTGCCTTCCCCTGGCTTGCTGATGTGGTTAAACTGTAGTTTCATCTCCACCTGTTTCAATTGTTCATTTTCTCCTTTGCTAAGGAACAAATTGATCCAAAGCTGTTGAACTCTTAGGATGTGTATGTTTGGGTTTTTTAAAGTTCTGACAAACAAACCTAGTTTTTTGGCAGTTGCAGTTAATCATCTGGATCCTGATGTGAAGTACTCTTTTATTTTTTATTAGAATAATCAAATACGAGTATCCAAGCTCTGATGTTCTCTTCTGATAAAGATATAAACGACTGCCAAAAGTTCCACATATATTTTGTCTACAGGGACTTTTTGTTTAGTTTTGGTTCCTTTTCTCTGACCTTGGGATTCTCAGAGCTGGCTGAAGACCAGGGAATGCCATGCAGTCTGGTTTGCTGTACAGGCAAATATGCAGGTGGATTTCTTGGAGCCAAATTTAGGAAACTGAAGTTTTAAAGGGGAAAAAAACCTCAACTAAAACTTTATTAAAATTATATATGTAAAACAAAGTCCTCAAACTTGTTTTAAATTTCCGTGAACTACACTGAAATCCTTGAAGCATGAGAAACCAAATAGTTCTCAAGATGTTTCTTGCTGGGAGGCAGGGTGGAGATGGAGCCATGATGCTTATGTAAATAATTCTTTTTCTTAACACTGATTTATTGAAGCTTTGATGTAATGTTTCTGCTGGCTCCTGAAACAAGCTACATATTTTACAAATATTGAAAAGATATTTTACTTCTGTAATCTCTCCATGGGTATGCAGCATTGTACTATTGCATTGAAATGCAGCAGAGTGAGACCTTTACATCCTTTTACCCAAAACTACATTTAAATAGTCATTTAAATGCTTCAATTTTATTGGCACTTAGGTTATTTTAAAATTAATCTTGTTTTAACTTGAAAAAAATGGAACAGAAACCAGTCAGAATATAGAACCTGAAAATTTCAGATGTTACAGGTGTTTTATCTTCACCAGCGTGGATAGCCCTGTAGGCTTAAAGTGACTGATGACACTGTACATCTGCCACACTGAAACTGCTGATGTTGTTCACTCCCATAATATCTGTATGCAAATTTACTTTTCTGTTAGATGTCAGTAATTTGGGATTATTAAATACCCTAGGAAGGGTTCAGGGATTATATCCCTGAAACAATATGGACATTTTTCTTAATATTTTAAGTACAGCTGTTAATTAAAACTTAGTTTTAATTTAAAATTTTAATAATTGTCAGTAATCTGGATATGACAGTCCTTGAAATGCCTTAAAAGTTGGTGCTGGAGTTAAATATTCTTTTTTCCATACAAATTTTCATTGATATGAGTGAATGAAAGATAGGATTATTCCATTTTACGCTATATTTTATGTTAGAACTCAATTTCTATTCCAAATCCTTTGTGTGTCTTTCCATGTTACTACAGAATAGTTACATGTCTTAAGCTTTAGACAAGGGAAGGGATTCTGAGGATTATCTTTTTTTAATGTTGGAGATGATGTCCAAAATCTAAAGGAAAGTATTTTATTTTGTTATCTTCGATGGCTTTATCTGAGTGCCTTCTGGCAGGATGAATTGTGCAATTTTCCCCCTGCCATACATACATTATGGAAATATGCTGCTTGGTGGGACTGTTCATGTAAAAACTTGACTTGTGTAACTGATGGCAGGTTTTGCCTGTGGCTTCTTGGGGTTTTTGTTTCCGTGGAATCAGGTGCTGAAGGGCTCACCCGTGCAGCCTTCACTGCAGTTACACATTGTTCTAGGGTGGCACTTCTAATCCACCTGGCTTTCAGTAGCATTTTTAAGTAGCGTTACAGAGACGCTGAAATTTATTCTCTCAGCTCAGTTCGATGTTTAAAGCTTGCAGTTTTCATACGTAGAACCAATCCTGTTCTAAATTAGTCATGGGCCAGTCTCCTTTTAACTGCTGTTTTAAATCCTAAAAAACCTGAGTAAGAAAATAAGCTGACTGATGATTCTAATAAGCTGACTGATGATTCTAATAAATCTGTTTTTTTCAGATTTTATTAAGCAGAGAAGAGCAGGACTGAATGAATTCATTCAAAATTTAGTTAGACAGCCAGAGCTATGCAACCAGTAAGTAGTTTCATTTCTGTTTTATAAGGGCTGTTGAAAAGACATGAGATGAAAAGATATGTTAAATACAAAATTGCAAATTAGTATTTAACCGGAAAATGTATTTTACCTGTTCAGAGCTCTTCAGTATAAAAAAACCACTATATATGGCCATCCATTCAGGAAAAATCTACAGACTGAGGGGTATGAAAGTGTTTTTGTTTTCTGAAAACCAACCTGCAGATCAATTTGCAGGCAGTTAACTGATCTTAATTCCAGGGGTGGAGATTCTCCTGTACACTGCTGCTGTGCTGGGCAGGTGTTTGTTTTGCCAGTGGCTGTACTGTTTGAGAGCCCTGCTGTCACCTGCTGCTGTGTTGCTGGCAGTCAGTCACTGCCTGCATCCTTTTCTTGTTAAGGGCAGTTCATGTTTAGAGCACGGTAACCAAGTGCCTTAATTGGCTTCCTGAGGTGGTTTGGGACAACCAGGCTGAGCTGCCTGAAGGAAATGATGGATAAGCTTGTACCTAAACTCTTCCCAGCAGGATAAGCTTGTACCTAAACTCTTCCCAGCAGAGGAACTGCAGGTGTGTTCACCACTACCAGAGGTGAATGGGAGGTGGTGCTAGGACAGAGTCAGCTCCAGTTAAATCTGGAGAGCAGCACTTTGTGTATGAATTCACTGCAGGGCAAACAGGCACCTTCTTTCAGTCCAAAGCTGTAATCAGTTTCAGCTAAGTCCATGCAGCTTTCTAGATTTCCTGAACTGGTAAAATGGTAAAGCTCTATGCTTAGCTTTAGTGTTGAGGAAATGTCTTTAATAAATAGGCTTTGTTTAATTGGCCTATTTGTACAGCCTCTGAAATTGCCTATTTCCCACAGGAAAAAAGTGGCTCTAACAGAAGATCACTGCAGTTTGCAGCATGCAGTCAGATTTTCTTTTTTCATAACAAATGAACTATTTAATGTCCTATCTACCTGAAATATGCGCTTCCTTTCCTTTCTAGAAAAATAAAAATAGGAGCATTTTAAATATCCTTCCTTTGATTAGTGAAAAAAAACTTAGTAACAAAGTCTTTATGGAAGGATACCTTTCCACCAGAGCAAACACCATGAGGTTTTTGTTCATGGTACTATTCTTTGGGAAATAAGAAAAAGCACTTTAATGTAACAAAGTACTGAAAATCAATCTATTTTGTTTCATTGGGAAACAAATAAATTGGTTTATTTAAGCCAATTTCCTCTTCTGGCTCTCAGTATATCCAACTACCAAATATTTTTGTTTCAAAACATACAGTATTTGTTCTCCAGAGGTAAAATGGTACTTTTGTTTTTGTTATGGACAGCATAAAATGGTGTGCTTAAAAGAAAAAGTCATCAAACCTCAAATCCACCTGCCTTCCTAAATTTTTGTGAGCTTTTAAAATTGTTTGATGCTTGAATGTAACTGTAGAAGAACCAATATATTCTTTAATATGGCACTTAACTTGCCTGATCCATTAAACTGACTTAAACCAGGGTTAAGACATAGGACTGATAGTGTTTGGTGCTGATGAATGTGTTCAATAATAAGCTTATTAAACAGAGTTCTACAATAAAAACAATAAATAGAGACCAAAGTTTATCTTTTACTATTCTCCTCTACCCCACCCTTAAAGAAATACTGAATTAAGCTGGAGAAAAAGCTGTACACAGCTTTTAATCCACACTTCCGTGCAAAGGCATTTAATTTTGTAGTAATTTTTGTGTTGTTTCTCTTTTAATCACTGCAAAGTGATTGTTTTTCTGAAGTGACTTTTTACTTTTTGCAGTGGTCCATTGCAACAAATCATATTGATAATTATGTAATCTGTCACCTTTTCTGTTGTGCCAGTGAATGTTGTTATAGAAGAAATACCAAATCTTTGATCTTGGTTCTTGGAATTTTTTATAAAATCTGATGGAAGCTACTCAAGGGATTTGTGGTGACTGAGTCTTCACAGTTAGTCCATCCTTGCTTTCTTAGTTTTGCTTTAATGTGCTAATTAAATTTGAAACTAGGTCAAAAAACTTATGTAAAGTTAGTGATGTGCAAAGAAGACTTAGTGGGTTGTGTATCCTCACAGAACCATTAGGAAATTCACCTTCCATGGCATCTTTCAAGCATTAAAACCAATGTCAGCATGTCATATATTTTAAGTCCTGCTTAGGAGAATTGTTTCACTAAAAGCTTAAGGATGATTCAGTATGTTCTCATTTCTAAGGATGGGAAGGCACCTGAACATCTGAAGTGAAAAGCAAAAATGTCAGATTCAGTGTGTCCAAGATGGTCATATTTACATTATTCTTTGAAACATTCAGCACTGTGTTCTTATTTTCCATCAGTGGATTTTTTTTTCTTGGGTCTGACAAATTTCTTGAATATTGTATCAAAGCCAGACCTTTTTGCTCAATAAAAAATCCAAGAAAAGCCTAAGGTGTATATTGGAGTGCTTAGAGAGGGACCCTGTGACAGTTTTTCCTGCAGTCACTGCCAGGGGGAATACAGGGTGAGATCACTGGCTTAGTCCAGATTGGGAATTAAAATGGGCTTCAAGCTGCATTTCCTCAAACTTACTGTGATAGACAGCTTGTTCTCACAGGTGGGATGGAGGTGTTCCAAGAAAAGATACGGATAGAAAGGGCAGAAAGGATAGAGGCCTGACAATGTGTCCCCCTTGCTGACTGCTGTCCTTAATAGTAGCTGAGAGTTTGTTCCTAGTGAGCCCTGGGAGCCTCCCTAAAACACTGCACAGCTCCTGCAAGTGGGCTGCTCACCCCCTCAAATGTAGGCCTTCACTGAAGTATTAATGCATTTAATTGCTGTCTATCAGAACATGTCCAAAGAAAACCTGTTTGAAAAACTGTATAATAGAGGATGCATTAAAGATATAATGCAGTTATTTTTAAATAGTCCAAAGTAGCTCCTTAATGAGAATGAGAACATTTGCATAACACTTGGAGAACTCAAGGATGACAATACTCTGCAACCTGTGGGGAGATGAGTTATCAGTTCTGTAAGTGAGAAGCGGGGTCTGAATGTGTTCCTTAGAAGAAAATCAGTCACAGTTTTTCTCTGATTTCAAAATCTGATGAATATAAAAATAAATGTGAAACCCCTGAATTTTAGAATCTTGCAGTCTGTGCTGGGGAAAGCAAACCTTGCACTATGTTATTGTCCTCTTTTAAAGTGTTACTCTTCTTTATTTTATTAGGGCTTTTTGAACCTTGCTTTCTGAAAGAAAGATAAAAGTGGTTTACTTTTTAAGAAAATGTGGTAAGAAGAGGGAGGAGTTGGACACTGTTACTTAAATAAAGTGTGTCTTAAATGTTAAGTTTCTGTTGGTGGCTATTAATTTTACCGATTTGCCTCAAAATTTGTGTGACCTTTTGGGTTTATTCATATTTCTGCGTGCATCCAAAATTTTTGTGTGGTATTATATTGTTTTTGCAGGAAAACTAATGCAGAATGACTATTACATAAGCAACAGTATTAAGCAGAGCTTGACATTCTTTTGTGTGTTTCAGAGATAATCCACAAAATAAATTTATTCAATCAATCATAAAAATCCAGACAAAACCAACTTTTGCTGGTAGCATATGTACAATGTATACTGAGTATCCCTTTTGAAGTGGTTTTCTCAACCCTTTTGATTTCATAGGTGAGGTTATTTTAGGAATAGTTTCCATGTATTCTTAATACATTGAGTTAATCTGTGTGAGTTAATAGCATAAGAGTCATATCAATCTGTATAGCATTTTGCATAACATGCTGCAATCTTGCCTAAGAAAATGGTACATAATTTTTTTTTATTTTTAATCAGTAGTTCTTTGCAGTGCTTTTAGAATTGCAAATGTGAACACTGTAACATCAGTTACAATTCTGGTTGTTGTGGAGTTGTGGGATACCCTGCAACTGTACAGCAGCCTTCTCCTGTGAATTGGTATTTTTATGTTTTTCCTGCTGTGAATTCAGTCATGAACAAAGTTACTATAGTAACTATTTGGATATGTGACAACATGGTCTATTTAATCAGCCAGTTGTCCAGAATAATTAATACTGAAAGGTAATAAAGGTCTGTTTCTGTTTTTCTCTCTAGTGAAAAGCATTAACCATAACTTTTTATTCTTGATTTTATGATATCCAAATGTTCTGAAATTTAAATTGTTGTGTCATTGTTGCACCAGTATTACTACAGTGTTCAAACCACTGTGATTTTTGTCTTCCTGGCCTCAGGATACAAGACAGATGCTGAAATAGATCAGAATTTGGAGTTCATATAAAATGGGAAGTATTAAACTGAAATAATGATGGGAAATTATGTGAACAGTCTTGTTGCTGTGCTTTAAACCTGAAAGGCTGAAGATAACTGAAACATACTTCAAATAGGACTTAGGAATACAGAATGTAGGTGATGAAAACTGGGAGCCTCAGATAGCCTAGGATATGAGGTAGGTTCAGTAGTGCTGACAGGAAATCACAGGAGCTGGAGAAGTGTCAGAAACAGCTCATCTCTTACTTCTTATCCTCACTAATCAGAGATGTGGAGGGTGAATGGATTGAAAATAGGGAGTACATTTGTTTCTTACTTAAAATTACCCTATTTTATATATTCTAGGGACAGATTAAAAGAGCAGCTCCATAGTAAGCTAGTGCCTTTCTTGTACTGAATGGCTCAGTGGAGTTTCCTATCAGTGACTGCCCTGAGTCCTTCTCAAACAACTTTGTCTCTGAAATGCAGGGAAGATTTATTCCTTGATAAGAAGTTTGCCTTTTAGTGAACTGAAGGAACTTGAAATATTCAAATTATCTATTGAAGTGGTTTATACAGGATATACACAATATCCATCTTTTTAGGAATTAATTTTTCCTCAGTTGTATTTCATTATTCTTGCACTGTGCTGTGGTTCAGTAAGTTCATTCTTTTGATCTGTTGGACAAGCCTTTCTTTCTGGAAGAAGAAATTCTTGGAATTCTCTTACTTCCTCACCTTTCTCTCAGTCCTTGTCCCCAGCCCCACCAAGACAGAGCTTGAAAATGCTGCTGAAGATGATAAAATGCATCTCTTTAGGTACTGTGGGAGGCCTGTCACTAATTCCTGAAGCAGTTGTGTCCTGCAGCTGATTGAAAGGATTTCTGAGCACTGTTCTGACAATGTCCAGCCAGAAGGAATTCTGAATACAGGATCACCATCTTCTACTTTAAAGTGAATGGGGAGAGGAACATTACTGCTGTGTATGTCTTGGAACACGTCTTCCCTTGGGATACAGATGATGTATTTCATTCCCTATTGCATTGGACAATTCAGTTCATTTTAGAAAACAAAAATTTAAACTCTGGTTTTTGGGAAGAAAGTTGGTTTCTTGGTGTCTGCTAGCCAGTTAGAACTCATGCTTTCTTCTGATAATTATCTGTAAATGCAGTTCTGCAGGGTTTCCTTCTGAAGTCTTCATATACAAATACTTTAACATGTTAGGTTTTTGCAAGTGAAAAGGTTTGTGCTGTATAACACACTTGGCAGTTGAATTATGTTGCTGTAAAAGAAAGTATTGCTTGTACACAGTTCTTAATTACCAGAACTTAAGTGTAAAACTTAGTGATGAGTAACTCCTCTGTATGCTGCTGTTCAGTCCTATGCTCTGTGTTTATGGCTGAAAATCATGCAGATTATTGGTGTGCTAATGAAGTTAACTGTGTTTCTAGCCCAGATGTCAGAGCATTTCTTCAGATGGATAACCCAAAACACCAGTCAGATCCATCTGAGGATGAAGATGAAAGGAGCAGTCGGAAGGTAATAAAACAGAAGTAGAACAGTCTTCTAAATTTTAGCTACTTGAGGGCAATCTTTTTAGCTATATTATTTACTGAAAACTACTGGTACATTTTACAATAAATCCCCTCCCTGTTCTTTTAAACAACTCAGTTCCACTGTGGGCTGTAAGCTATTTTTCTGTCAGGTGTGAACTGCAGAGAGGAGTAAAAGTGATTGCTGGCTTTGTCTTGCTTTTTCCCCCCTTACTGTATGGGTTAAAGAAACACCACTTTAGTCATAGCTTAGCTGTCAGAGTTTTTGCAGTCAGTTCAAAAGCTCTTGCTAAGAACATCTGGCAAGGAGAAGGGAGATTGAATGTTTAATTGTCTTTTTGTTTGCTTGTGTGTTGTTCTTTTTTAAAGATGGGGAGAAATAGAACTCTCTCAAGGGAAAAAATGCAATCTTTCTAAAATTCACTTAGGAGGAAGGATGGATTTAATTTCATTTCATATATAACACTGTGTGAGGTCTTTTTTTGTTTCTTTTGTCAAGAAAACCACTATATAGCTGGATATAGTCTCTGAAAATTAGTTTGCAGCCTCCAGAAACAGTGCTGTTTGAAAAAAGGAGTATTTCTAGGAAGGCAGAAGTGCCATATTAAGCTTGTCCTCTCTGTTACTTACTACTTGGCATAAAGATGTGATATTACTACTTCTTTTCTTATTCAGCCCCTGTTAAAGATGTAAGATTTGTTTCAGTTTGTGTGTGATCCATGGGAGATTTAGTGTGCTCTGAAAGTTTCATTTTAAAGTCACTAGTTTAAGATACAGGTTTCCTCCTCCTATGAAAGGTATTTTAAGTAATATGGAATGATATAAACCATCTCTGGAAAATTAATGATGTGTCGGCCTACAACAAATTCCAAAAAGAGAGCCACTGCATAATGGCCTGGACCCCATATTTTTGGTGGAAAATTCACCTTATGGTTACTGTAAACGATGAAGCCAAACAACAAGAAACAAAAAAAAAAGCCTAAAAGAAAATCTTTTTTACAGTAGCTCTTTCAAAACCCTCCAGCACCACTGGCTCATTTCAGTCAGTAGTGGCATCCAGTGCTGCTGTCAGACCATTTTCCACTTCTGAAGTGCTGCTTTGTGCTGCTTGGCAGCCTGTCCCCAGGTAACTTGTATTTGTGTGCAGTTTATTCTTCTCTGATAAATTCCAGAATCACAATGAGAGTACAAATACCACTTTTCTAAATCGAAAACAAAATGGAGAAAACCACCTAAATGACAGTGGCTTCCTCTGCTCCCCATAATTTATAAATTCTGCCTGGGTGTGTACCAGTAGGATTCATGGAATTCCAGGAATTGAGTTATTTAACCTTTAATGTCAGGATAGAAAAGGTTGGTAATGTTTTTCTTGGGGTTGAAAGAATGTTCACTTCCATGTTTTTAAAAGCACTGTGTCTTTCATTAATTACTCTTATATAAACAGTGTGGGTTTAAAATTATTGTATTAGTAAGATCTTGAAGAATTTGGATTAAAAGGTAGGAAATATGTTCATGAAGCAAGTACAGAAAGGGTTAAGTTCTGAATGAGGAACAAGCTGTTTATTGAAATACTCTTCAGTTTTTATTTCTGATCTTTTCCTCTCTGAATGAACGCAGATATTTTATTACCTTCATCTTGGAATAGGATGTGTGTAGAAAGAATTTGTGACAAGGTGATGATGGTCAGGTATTTCAGTTCCCAATCTAGATGTTAGATCTCTTTAAAATTCTAATGTAACAAGTGTAAAAGTATGGATTGAGCAGATCAGTAGAGTATTTTGAAACTAGGATTGCTTGAAAGATAAGAGAGAAGAAAAAGTATTACAAGTATACCTCTTTGTTTCTCCCAACAGTTAAACTCTACCTCACAGAATATCAACCTGGGACCATCTGGAAATCCTCAGTAGGTTTCAATTAAATTGAATTTAATGTAATTCAATTTAATGTAAATTTAAAACTTAATTAAATGGGATTAAAATTAATTTGAAAACCTGTAAAGTTAGACTGACCTGGGGAGTGGCCCCACAGCTTCTGAAAACAAGTTTGGTTTATTCATGCCAAAGGAGCAGCTTGCCTTGTTGGTGCTATGACCCAGTTACTGCACTGGTAACTTGTGTCTCTGTTTGGTGTTTTCTGCAGAGTTTCTGTTCTCAGTTCTGTGTGAATCTGCTTTTCTCCTCTGGGAGATGACTGTTATTTTGGTTTTGCTTTCCTCACAGATTTGTTCTGGGCTAGCAGGAGGAAGTGGTTAATAGATTGCAGTAAGAAATGAAATACAAGAGTCCTTCCCTTCGGGGGCAATAAATAGAGAGGTGTATGGTGATGTAACTTGTTTTGCAATTTGAAAACACAGATAATTGTTTTGCTGACAGAATTGTATTCAGGAAAGAGTAAGGGAATCCTGGGAAAAACTGAAAGGAGTGGTGATGTGGGAAATGGAAAAAACTGAGAGCGAATTCATGCAAACACCAAGAGGCAGGTGTTAGGACCTCCCTCCTCTTACTGAAATTTAAAACAAGGGAAGATTTGGTGAAGGGAAGAATGGAACAAATAAGAGGGAGCAGATAACAAACTTGGACCTTCCTTTCCTCATGTAAGCTTTAGAATCCATTTGAACCACTGGAAGTAAGCTCCAGGAGACATCATGGGGAAATTGAGACTTAAAAATTATGAAAAACTAGATCATGGAGAATGAAAGAATGGTCTTACCTTTCCTTTACATCAAAAGGTTAAACTTAGTAAATAAAAGAAACTCAGAGGATGCAACTTGAACACTTTCCCTAGAGGAAAATGGAATTGCAAAATGAAGAGGGGTTGTGTCTGAGGACAGGTCTGCAGAAGCAGTGCTGGGTGGAACAAAGAAAAGGAGGGTGCTGCACTACACTGCTGTACAGCTATAAGGCTTGTCATTTCTGCCCAGATGACCTGTCTCCTTCCTAAATATCTTTCAGTGCTAAACCAACAGACTTTGATTTCCTGAAAGTTATTGGGAAAGGCAGCTTTGGCAAGGTGAGTTTTTATTAATGTGTCTTATGGTGGTGCAAGAATGCTCTCTGGTTTCTCATGCACAGTGACTGGAGACTTGGCCAGAAGTGATGTTGCTCTAGGGTGGCCCATAAACTGTTCTGTTGGATCCTCATTGCTGATGATTTGTGATCCTGCCATTTTTTCCCTGCTGCCTCAGCCACTTGTTGGGACTCAAAAAAGGGAGATTTTCCCTTTCTCATTCGGGGCAGTTGGGATCCTCTGTTTCCCCCAGGGAGGAAGGGAGGTACCCCTGTGCTTATGCAGCAGCTGGAGTACAAATTGTGCTTTTCCTCTTGCTGTCAGAGACTATTTTGTGAAACCTCTGATACTGTGGAGCAGTGTGAGCAACAGCACATTGAGAAGTGACTTAAGTATTGATCTTTTACAAAGATGCCAAGGAGAATTCCTTTTGAAATCTCCATTTCCAAATTCTTTTTTATGTTGTTGTTTTTCATTCAATTATCTTTGCAATTTATCCTGAAAAAGCTGAAATTAATCTTGACAGAGATTTAGCAGGTCATGGAAAACAAATGTTACAATTCAGTTTTTCATGATACCACTGTTGTGATCAGTTTTTACTGAACTGTAAGCTTACTCTATTGGCAACTACATTGCTGACTGACTGTATTAAAAGCAAAGAAACTGTATTGTGAAAAAAATAGCATGAACCCCTTCCAGTTAGGCCAAAATGATAAAATATTACCCATAGTATGTGAACTGCAACAATCAAATTTCCTCCTTTTCTTTTGAATTTCACAGGTTCTTCTTGCAAAACGAAAACTGGATGGGAAATACTACGCTGTCAAAGTGTTACAGAAAAAAATTGTTCTCAATAGGAAAGAGGTTAAGAGAAATAGTCTTTTTTCCACCCACCTCCCTTGTTTTTTCCCTTAATTACAAAATCATTCCTGTTTACTTATTGATCTCTAACTTCTTGCAGCAAAAACACATTATGGCTGAACGTAATGTGCTTTTGAAAAATGTGAAACATCCATTTTTGGTTGGACTACATTACTCATTCCAAACAACAGAAAAGCTTTACTTTGTCCTGGATTTTGTTAATGGAGGAGAGGTATGTGGTGGTTTTGTTTGCATTGTAGTCTGTCTATTCTGCTAATTCTAGGTGGGAGGAGTGAAGTGATTCTTTACAATGGGCTGTGATCCACATTCTCCCAGTTTTGAAAATTCTGTTGTTATCTGCTGTTGCTACAGACTTCTGTAGCTATTTGGACCCTGTTCCTGTTCTTATTGACAACTTCAATCCAAATTTATTCATGCTTGTCAGATACAAATACTGTATTTTACAGTTACATAAAATTACTTTAATTATAAATTAATCTTATGTTTACATTTTTCACCATGGAACACTGGCTTCCTCTTGCATGTGCATCAGCTGAGATGCTGATATTTCAAAAAGGGAAGAAAGGAAACTGACAGCGGAATTTATTATATTGTGTCAGAGTTGGAACAAGATGGGCATTTCTCTTGTCTAATGTACCTTACTTAGACTGTATTATGGTTTGCCCTGAATTGTGGTCAGAACTTAGTTTTGTATTGTTTCAGGCAAACTAAAATACAGTTCAAAGCATCTTTCAAATTTGAATGGAAAGCTGGGGTGGCTGGGTGGCTTTTTATTTTTCCTGAACTTTGTAGGCAGAAACCAGAAAACTTCATTTTTCTTAAAATCTTTACTAGTTAAGTTTGTATTATAGTTGAATCTGTATGTTTATGATTTCATATTTGTCTAGACTTCTGTATCTTCTCAAATTATTTGCAGCTAGACAATTCTCTGTAGTGGAGAGCTTGGAATATACATCTCACACAGTGATCTACATCTAGGTTATTTCAGAATACAGTTCTATAAATAATTATGCAAGTATTTGAATACACACATTTTCAGAAATGAAAGATGACTTATTTGACACCAGGTTATATATTCTCCTTGGAGGCAATCTTGCATGATTTAGTCTTACCAACTTCTATTCACAGCTTAGTGATTTACTCTAGCTCCTTTTGCCTAGTCCTGGTTTTAAGGGAATGTGTTTGAGTTATCTATCCATCTGAGCCACAAAAGAGAAGCCGGGAAGAGAGTAAAGTAATGACTATGTCATGCAAAAAAATCCCTATTCTATTTCATTGTGCTTAAAAAAAAAAAAAAAAAAAGTGGACAGCAAAATAAATTACTCTTCATTGTAAAATTACATGTTATTAACCTGACTTGTTTTGTCTGTGTTGTTCTTATTTCCTATTTGCATATTTACAGCTGTTCTTTCACTTACAAAGAGAACGTTCCTTTCCTGAGCACAGAGCCAGATTTTATGCTGCTGAAATAGCCAGTGCACTGGGCTACTTACACTCCATAAATATAGTCTACAGGTAAGTTTCTGAAAGGTACCCTTGTCCTGCTGAAATTCAAAATAGGACAAATTACCAAATTAAAATCATCTTACAGGAAACCTGAACATAACACTTTCATAAAAACTTCAAGCTTTCAGCTAAAGAGTAATAAAACCCCTTGCCTCTGAAGCACTTGTGACTGCTGTTTTGGTTTACTACCTTTTCTTTTTTAATAGGGATTTAAAACCAGAAAACATTCTCCTAGATTCCCTAGTAAGTATGCAAGATTATTTCTGTTTTCTGTGTTCTCTCACAAAATTGACACTTGTGTGTACTCACATGTTGAGCATGTTCTCTTTTTAACTTATCACTCTTTCTTAAACAGGGTCATGTTGTCTTGACAGACTTTGGACTTTGTAAAGAAGGGATTGCAACTTCTGATACCACTGCAACGTTCTGTGGGACCCCAGAAGTATGTTGACAGCTTTCATGGGTTTTTTTATCAGCAATTAATGACTGTTGATCACTATTAATATTCCTGTAGCTGGAAGGTCAGATACTGTGTTTTGTACTGCTGGGAGGTTTGCATTCTTTGAACAAGATGAAACCAGCCCAAAGACAAGCTCTCTATGCATCTATTAATTGTTCTTCTTATTAATATGCAGTGTCTGCTGCTTGCTACCCACATGGCCGTAACTCATCTCTTCCTTCCTCTGTTTTTCCACCCTTTTTGAAATACTGTTTTCTTCCATGTCTCCTAACTGCTGGGTAGACACAAAACCATTACCTTGTCTAACAGCTGCTGCAGATTTGTCAGTGTGAATCTACTTACAATATCCTGCCATTGATTCTTAGTAAGTTTATAGGGAATTAATCTGTGCCTCAATCAAATTATTGCATATGCAAAAAACTTTGAACTTCCTGACTGAGTTATTGGACTCTGTTTTTTTACTGGGAAAACTGCACTGGAAAACTCAGAATGTAGAAGGCTTGAACACGTATGAGGGATTCACCAGAGGATTGGTAACAGAAACTTTGGTAACTTGATAAACATATTTTAAATTACAGGAAAGACCTTTGAATACAGTGAAAGATGAGTGAGGTGTAGTATTTAGCTGAAACATTTGATTGTTATGAAGCAACTTTTCTTGAAAGTGTTTACTGTGAAGTGACTAAACTGTAGGTTTTATCCATGCTAGTCTAATTCTCTAAAGAACTTTTTTTTTATTCATTTCAGTATCTTGCACCAGAAGTCATTAAAAAGCAGCCCTATGACAACACAGTAGACTGGTGGTGCCTTGGTGCAGTTCTTTATGAAATGCTTTATGGGCTGGTATGTACCTGATATGTAAATGTTGTTTTCCTCCCCTCTCCCCTTTTATTTGAAGTAAGGTTTGAGTGTTGTTAAAGATGTTAACTTTTTCATAATATTGGAATACTCCATTTAAGGAGATTAACAGATTGTCTTGTACTTACATAGCACTTGTTTTTCTCTTTTGGATTTTACATTGCCCCCTGGTATCTGACAGTTCATGGAAAAGCAAAATCGGAGACATCAGCAAAATCAGTAGTCATCACTTTGAGGGACTTTGAGAGTAAACTGAATCAACAGTGATAATACACAAAAAAACCCAAACCAACTTATAAGTAAAATTTTGTCAAATATTGCAATAAATAAAATTAAAATACTTTTCTTTTACTTAGGTATCCCAGGTTTTCTCCTAGCTTTTGACAGCATTAGAATAAAAAAATATTACTACGCTTCTTCTAGTCATATGTAATTACTCCAGTAAGAATCTGGTCTTCTACTTCTCTTGAGTTCTGTCTCTTCCCATAGGACCTTAAATAGGGAGATGGATTTGTTTTGCCATTCTCAGATTCTTTTCAGGAAAGTTCAGTGGGAGCTTTGAAGCTGGATGGCATCTATGGCTACTTATTAGTGAGAACACTAATAGGAGTAGAGGAGGCGGGTGGTGGGAAGTTATCAAGTGTAAAGTTCTGGCAGTGGTGATGACTGAATTAGAAGTTAGCAGTGCATAAAAAGGAGATTTCTGCTTCACTGCTAGCAGTCTTGCCTGTCTAAGAGAATCATTTACTGATCATACCTAATACATGAGACAATGTTGCATGTGGCTTCAAGTTAATGTAGAACTTGTATTTTTTTTCAGCCTCCTTTTTACTGCCGTGATGTTGCTGAGATGTATGATAATATTCTTCATAAGCCCCTGGTGTTGCGCCCGGGAATCAGTCTTACAGCCTGGTCTATCCTGGAGGAACTTTTGGAGAAAGATCGGCAAAGCAGACTTGGAGCTAAGGAAGACTTTGTAAGTAATGTCCTAATTTATCAAGCCCTATTTCAGTTAAAGGGACTCACCAAATTAATGTGCACAGCACAGGATTGATAGTTGGAGATACAAACTGCATTGCTGCATCTGTCTCTATTTTCCTCTTTTTTATTTCTTCAGTAAAGACACCAGTGGGGTCTATCCCTGGAAGTTGCTGGGATAAGAGAGCAGTGATTGTTGTGGGGTATTTTGAGCTTGGTTGCTGCTGTACCTGCCAGCAAAGAAAAGACACTTGCTGGTGTAGCAGTCGCTAAGGTGCACAGAAGTAGGTTTCACTGTTCATAGTGAAACTGGGATATAATCAAAAGAAAAGGCTGTCCTGTGGTAATACTAACAATTTGGAAACCAGGTAAAGAGGAACACTAGTTCCATGCAAACAGCAGCTTTTTTTTTAGCCTTAAAATCACAGCAGACATTTCCCCACTGTAGCAACAAAACCTTTGTTCGCAAAAAGTTGATGTGAGAAAGTTACACATGTCTTCAGAACTGTGCGATATGAGGAATGATCTAGAGGATGTCCTCGGTCCATTAGGGGTGGGATCTTTGTAGTCTTTGGTTTGCAGTCCTTATGTTAGTCTGTGGACCTTGTAACTGAGCAAGATGCAAGGATTTACCATAGCTGTTTGCTGCTTCTTGAATGGTAAGTATATTGCAGAGCTGTTGAAGCAGCTGCTTCTCGGACAGTGATGTGCTTTACAAAAACGAACAAAACTTTAAGGCAGGAACAGATATCAACAGAAGACATTCTTGTTCTGGAGTAGACTTCAGGGTTGTTGATTTTAGGGCTTAAAAGCAGAAAGTATGATTTTGTAAGGAAAACTGTTTATAGAGGCAGTCTCACAGATTTTAATTGCTGTTTTTACCGACTACAACTTTTATTGCAAAGTAAATTGTGAATAAACAAACTGATAAGGACGTGCACATAAGAACTTCCCTATGTACATGTAGTATGAAGTAATGTTTACTACGATGCACAGGATGGAGTTATGAAATATCTAAAATCTTTGTTTGCTACAGCTTGAAATTCAGAAGCACCCGTTCTTTGAATCTCTCAGTTGGACTGATCTTCTTCAGAAGAAGATTCCGCCACCATTTAATCCTAATGTGGTAGGTGCCTGGAGAGTGGTGATGGTGGTAGTGTTTGCATCTCAGATCACACATCACAGAATATTCTGAGTTGACGGGGACCCACAAGGATCATCAAGTCCAGCTTTTAAATGAATGCCCCATATGGGGACTGAACCCATAAACTTGGTGCTCCTAGCACCATGCTCTAACCAACTGAGCTAATCTCCCTAAGAGACACTTTTTTCATATTTTTTTAGGTTTATTGGATAATTAAGGAAATAGGGTTTGGTCAAAACTCCAATCTCAATGAAAAAAACCCAGCTTTTTAATACCTATTTTCAGAGACAGAGTGATGTGCTTCCTTAAATTTATTTACTTAAATAGAATATAACAACAAAATAGATAGCTTTGAGAGTTAAATTTGGAATCTCAAGGACAAGCACAAGTTTAAAACACTGTATTGATAACTGACGGATCCTTCTGTTCTGTAGGTTGGACCAGACGATATTGGGAATTTTGATGCAGTGTTCACAGAAGAAATGGTCCCATACTCAGTTTGTGTTTCTTCTGACTACAACATTGTTAATGCCAGTGTCCTAGAGGCAGATGATGCATTTGTTGGATTTTCTTACGCACCACCTTCTGAAGATGGGTTTTCCTAGGGACTTAGAAGCGAAGAGTGGTTTGGAAGTCTTGTCTTAGACTGAAATGTTAGGGTATGGACACATTCCAAAATAGCGTAAATAGTGCCTCGTCTTGTATGTAGGTTTGAAACCTATGAACAAACTTTCTCTGCTGTATAGGAAGAATTTGGGCATTTTGGATGGCTTTCTTTGGGGTTTGAACTGTTTGTTCCTGCTGCAGAAAATATTTTTTAAAACCTTTAAAAAGCATTCTCTATGTATTTTTTAAGCAAAAACACTGACTGTTCTCCTCAATCCCTTCGAGTTTACATTCATACCTATCTAATTTGACTGGCACAAACAGCAGCAAATTTAGTAAATTTATAAATGCTTTTGTACTTATTTACAGTGACTTTGTGCTTGAATTGTAACTATGCAAATTTGTCTTTTGTATATCCTGGTTTAAAAAAAGGTAAATGTTTTCCCTGTTAGCAGTTTGGAATATGTGTTAATTTACCTGTCAGCACTTAAATGATACATGTTAAGGACCAAGATTCTTAAAGAACTTCCTCAGAATGAAAACTTGGTCACATAAAACTGGATTGTTGCTCTTGTACTTGCTGGAGTATCCATTGACTCAACTGGATTATCTGAGGTATGGGGGATTACTCAAAGCAAGGACAGAAAAAATTAACTGGACTGATTTGATAACATTACTTATTACGTCTTCTACTTTTCTTTCTTCCCTAAGCTAAGTATGTCTATATTTCAACTACATTAAAAATATTTTTGGTTAAAGCTCTGCTTCTCCAAAGATCTAATATGCAATAATCATGGTTACTTTAAAGTAAGTAAATTAGCTTTGACATTTTGGGGGTGGGTGGTAAGATGATCATGCCAAATATTAGGGATTTTTCTCACAGATTGGTAGTTTAAAACACTCTTATGTTCCAAATTAATTGTATTTCAGCGCTCATAGCTACTTGTCTTTGTGTTTCAGTTTGCACCATTTTAAAATCTTCACTTGATATTGGGGGAAAAATGTAAATTACACTGATAATTTAAAAAATGTGAAAAGGTGTTGTATTTCTCATAACATACACGTGTATGGACAAACATAATTCTGAACAATTTCTGTTTAAGGAAATTTTTTTAAACAATGCAAAAATTGACTGCAGTTACAGTGTATAAAAGGCATATAATGGTAGTAGTTTTATTATATATATTACTTGTAAATAACAACTTATTTTTGTCTGTTACTCCAAAAATGTTCAGCGTTTTTTGTTCACAAATAGATTCAGTTAAATGCCTTGATTTGAGAGAAGTCTGGTTAGATACTGATGCATCATAATGATACATAAATTGAATGAATATTACATAAATTTCAGTATCTAAGTCACCTTGGTTTTGGCAAAAAAAGCAGCTAAAATAAATATACAGTGTCCAGATCTGATAAGAATTGTGAACCTAGGGGGAGAGAGTATCAAATAATAAGTCTTTTGAAATAAATGTTTTGTCAATACATTAGAAAAGTGAAAAGTAAAACAGGATTCATTGCTTATCTCCTAGAGCACAGTCTCCTGCACAGTGGTTAAGTGATGCTTAGCAGCTGCTACATGAGGTTTTGGAAGGAGTGATTCGGTAAAAAGTAAGAATTGACATTGGCAGGGGTGGAAGGAAGGAACTGTATCATTTGTGGGAGCAGAATGGTGGCTTGGCACTTATTTTCCATAGTTCTCTTCTGCAAGGGTTGAAAAAAGCAGTTCAGGACAGCCAACAACTATGTGATTAGTTTCTTTGGCATTAATATAATTTGGAAATTAAGGCCCTGGGGATTTTGGTTGGGGGTGGGGGGATGCGGTTGTCAGTTGTTCTGGTTTTTGGGTTTTTTGAGTTTTTGTGTGTTGGTTGGTTGGTTGGTTGATTTTTTGTTTGGTTTTCGTGTTTCGGTTTTGGGGTTTTTTTTAACGTGGCTTGCTAATGGACTGGGAAACAAATTGGTGGTATGAAAGGAAGTATCCATTCTTGTACTGAATTTTTAGTCTGTATGCTCCTGAAATTATTGTGTAATTATGTGGCTACTGTAACTACCTTCTCTTTATGGCAAGGATGTGCAGTGGATGGGAAGGAGAGTAAATACTTCAAAAATTATTGTGGGAACTAGCACCCTTTTTAATTTTTGCCTTGAATTCTAAGATGTTCATACCTAGCTGCCTGACTGGATGAAGGGTTTTGTTATTGTTGTTTTTTGGGTTGTTTTGTTTTTGGTTTGTTTTTTTTTTTTTATGGTCATAATTCAGCAGTTCTTAAAAAATAGTGTGGCAGTTGAAGTTATTTTTGGAAGAGCAGCTTAAAAATTGCTTATTAAGCTTTTGGCTTCTGCAGAGTCTGCCCTTTTGGCAAAGTGTGAATGAAGTACTAAAGTTCTTTGAACTAAAGGTTAACAGACTGTTTAACATCAGGCAATAAAGCCTCATGGTATTTCTGTACCCAGTACTCTTGTTCCACATCTCTGTGCATCCCATGAGGATGGTTTCCAAGTAATTTGTGTGTTTGGAGTGTTGTAGCTGCCTCACCCGGGGCTGAGCTCTGACAAGTGATACCTGAAAGAGGTGGTAAAGCCTAGAGAGGAGAGTGAACCTACACAGGACCCACCTGTGCTACTCCTTTCCTGGTTTGGTAATAGAGGGAGGCGAAATTTGGGCTTTTGGGCTTTTGTTCTGCCTGTCTGTAGCAGAAGGGGATTGATTGTTTCTCCTCTTGCAGAGAGGGAGCCGAAGCCCTCCATGAGGAGCAAGCCTTTCTCCATGCTGCTGCTGTGGTCTCCGATCTCTCGTCCTGAGGGGGAGGAACGAGAGACCGTAGGCAGCACTGAAAAACACGATGGTTGTAAAAATGTGAACTCAAATACGACACAAAAGAGTTCAGAGGTGCTCTCCCGGAGAGCTAAGTTTGGGAGTGCCTGCCATGCTGAAGGCAACAGTAAAAATGCAATGTGTATTGATGAGAGAAAATGGTTCTGTAAATAGGTTGCCGCAGTGCTTTGCACGCTCACAGAGCCATGTCCCGTGCCCGGTGCCCTGTCCGTGGGTGAAGGCAGGAGCTGTGTGGGGCCGAGGCGTCAGTCCCGGCCGTGGCCGCGGGGCTGGGGCAGCTGTGGGTGTAGGATGGGCTGGGAATTGCCTTCCCTGAGGGCTCGCACTGAGCGCGGGCGCTGCCACTGCCCGGCCGAACCCTGCGGGCCGCGGCTCTCCCCGCGCCGCCGGCTGAGGGGCTGAGGGGGCGGCGCCGGGAGCGGAGTCTCGGCCCCGGGGGCTGAGGGCAGCCCGGGCCCCGCGGTGCCCGCTGCTGCAGACCCGGCAGCGCCGGGGGAGGACGGGGCGCAGGAAGCCTGGTGAACAGCTGGTGGGGAGGTCTGTGAGGCAGAGGTGCCGGTGGCGTGGAAGCTGAAGCCAGGCAGGAGTTGCTGATGGGCCGAGTCGCCCCTGGAGTGTGGTTAGCTGGCTGTGGGGACACTGGTGAACACCATCATCAATCACCCTGGTCAGGCCTTATTTTCTGAAGCTTAGGTGCTGGCTGTTCAGTGCACACTGAGCGGGGTCATAGCTCAGCCCTTCCTATCATATGTGGTGTCCTGCGTGTCCAGCCCGGGTAACACAGGATCCAGGGATTTACAGTGGATCTATGTGTGTACATTTCTTTAACCCCTTCTTGCTAAATATTTCAAGGGATGGAATAGTAGTCGTGCAGAAGTAATCCCAAAGATTACTCTTTATGGGGGGGAATCCTTATTATAAATTGTCTTTTAACTTGTGCCTTTTTTACTTCAGACATTAAACACGTTTCAGCCCACAGTGTACAGGTCTCAGGCCACAGGGTTTATGCTGCTGCCACACTGCATTTGTGCTGGAATGTGGTTACTCCCCTTGGATGTTGATCTGTTTGTTCTCCCAAAGTCATTTCTGTGCATTCCTACAGGGAATCTCTCACATGTTGTGAGCTTTGATCCCTCATCAGCTCAGTAATTCCATGTCCTATCCTTAACCAGGTGGGTAAGTCTTATTTTTGAAGATTCGAGTGTTGTTTCATATTGGTCGTCTACAGAGAGAACTATGGACATTTTGCAGAAGAAAATATGAAAGACATTGAAACAAATGCATATATACCAGATACCATATTTTGGCCTTAGTAATTCTCCTTCTAAATTCTGCAAGGTAGTGCTTCGTGGTACAAGACTCTGCTCTTAAAAAAAAATAAAATAGAAAGAGATGTGGGTAATACACAATGAAATCCGCACTAAAGAGCAAGATCAGTCTCCAAACCAAAACTGTAGTTGTTAGAGCTTTGCCAACAGGAATCAGAATTGAACATCTGTGTACATGTATGGTAGTAAGTGCAAGATCATCACCTTAAGTAGGTGCTACAGGAGATCACAGCAGGGTAGGAAAGTCAGATTTTAAGAAAAGGGATGTTGCCCAGTTTCACACTTTTAACAGCTATGACAGACTTCTCAAATAAAATAAAATTTTAAGTCTTACTCTTGATAGACTGATTATAAAATCTACAGGGGAGGTTAAATTAAACAGAGACTTTAATTTCATGGATTAGGGAATTAGGAGAGTGAAATAATTCACCAAGGAAATGAAAACACTAGAGCATTCTTCAGAAATTTACTCTAGAAATAGAGTATGTGTCAGTCATTGGAAAGAGCTTTGAACTGAATTTTTAAAATCCTTCAAGAATTGCCTAGCTACAAAAAGAGACTATTTTAATTTTGTGTGGCTTTGTTAGTATGTACCTTTATTATTACTGTTATAGCATGGCCAGTGCTACCATCATTTCTTCATAGTTTATTCCCACAGGTGGATAAAGTGTGCAGAGATCTTGGAAGATGGATCCTGAAATACAGAAAATGAGGGAAGTTGTCCTTGTCTACCTTGACAGGAGTGGTGGCCTTCAGAAATTTGTGCATGATTGCAAAAAATATAATGGTATTACTCAATACATAGTCTGTTGAATTGAAACATAATGTTATGTTAACAAATCCATTACTTTAAAATACTTTTTGCTCTTGCAGACTCAAAACAAAGTTATGCTGTTTATCGTTTCATTATTTCAATCAATCCTTCTGACATTGCTGAATTGGATGCAACTCTTGGAAACTATATTCTTCATAATCCCCTACAAGCTGCACAGATTTTTCAGTCAGTAAGTGCATAACAGATGAATAGGCAAAAGTGCATCATCTAAATTTCAACAAGATTTTCCTTTCTTAAATGAAGTTTTTTTTCCATCACAGGTATGCTTTGTAGCTATTAAGACACTATCATTAATTGAACAATTGCAGACAGAAGCCCAGGTGAGTCTCCATTGGTTTTTTCCATTTAGCTCTTGAATTTTCTAAGTATAGTAAAATATTAGCAAATACTGTTGTATTAAGTTTTCATTTTCCCTTTGGTTGCAGTATTATTTAAATTATTAATAATTAAAAATAGCTGGAAGTCTCACCCTACCACATTGCAATTGTGATGTTAATTAATATGAAACCTAGTTACTCTTCATGTGTTTCTGAATTTTTTTAACAGTTATGTATCATATTGTGTGTTTGTCCATAAAAAGTAAAGCAGTTTTAAATAAAAATATGTTTTTACATTAATGTTATTGTGTCTTTTGCTAGATCAGTATATTGCTGAAACCAACACATTTGCCACCTTTCCCGAGTTATGTTCTGAGTCTTTCTGCATATCCCTTTAATTACACATCTCAAAGATTTTATATGTCTGAAGGGATAGTGATTGCAATGGGAACTGTAACAAAATACACACAAGGAGCAAGATTTCTTTGTACTGAGGAAACCTGTCCATTCTCTGAAGGTAGTAAAAATTATGAAAATTAATCTGTACTATTTCAAAAGCTTTTAAATAAATTTGGTAATAAGACATTAAAACCTAGCCTAACAAAGGTATTTTCCTATATAGTTTTATTGCATATGCATACATTTTTGTAATGAACACAGCAGGACTTTTGTTAATTGAAAGGAGTGGACTTGTTCTGCATTATTAAATGTTTTGGAAGAACATGGAAATGTTTTGGAAACTATGCCAGCAATCCCTTTTCCTAATGCTGAAGATAGTTTATAGGAGAAAACCCAAGTCACTTGTACAACTTGAATATATTTAATATCTTAAATAACTTAATACTTAAATATCTTAAATAACAATAAAATATCTCAAAAGTAAATTAGCTAAACTACTAACATACCTTTTTCTTGGAAACTGTCTGTGAAAAAACACCACAGGACAATACGTTTAAGTGGCCGGCAAAAGCTCCTAGCACAGAACAAGTGGTGCTTGGATGAGTAGTTGACTTCTGTGGAACTACTGCTTTGAGGAGTATTACTGAACTGCTTGTACCACTGCAGAGAGAGGCCCTAAGTACTTTTAAGGCTGTTTATTGCTTCTTTTGTAAGAGAGTCCATACAGTTATAAAAGAGATGCAAAATCCCAGAGGTTGGAGTCAGCAGATTAAGTCACCCAGACATCTTTACGAGGACACGTCCCTCTAATAGTGACTATCCATATCCCGTGTCATTCCCACGGCAGGCAGAAGCCGCAGTGGCTCACTCCCCAAGAAAGCCCGGCCAAGCCGTTCATCTTGGGAATGTGCAGTGGGAAACTGCCATCTCGTGGCCAAACACAATAAATCACATGGGTTATTTTAGTGCCATGTGTAAGGAAGGCTCATCTGAAGAAACACAAAATAAATTTAGAATTTCACTGTCCAGTATTTTAATTGCTTCTGTTCTCCCTGGGAAATTTAAAACTAGAACTATGCCCTCCTTTTAAATGGTTGGTAAATTTTTTTTTTTTTAGGGTTTAGGTGCATCAGAGTGCATTGCCCTGGAGCTACAGAGTCTGCTACAGTGAGGACTGATTTTGTGTGTAGCTTGTGTTCCTCACCACTGCAGGAAGACATGAAATTTAGAGTACTTGGTGGTAGGATCTATGTTATCTTACTTTTTGATCTGGTAGTTTCCTACTTCTGTTATATAATAAGTAAACAAAATATTTAAGTGGGAAAAGCCCACTTAAAATACACCAGTCCTTTAAAAAGAGATATTTTCAAGAGAATTAACCTTTTTCTTTGCCTTTTTTTGAAAGATAAACAAATAGTTGAAATGATTGATGCTAAAATTCTGAATGCTTTGAAAGGATATTCCATTGATAAATCACATTTTAGGATTCAGGCATTTACATTGTTCTTGAGAGGTAAGCTGAACTTTGGAGTTCTGTCAAAAATGTTTTAGAATTGATCTATAAGAATCCCTTGCAATTGTAGCTCTTTTTTTTTTTTGTTTGCTAAAATGGTGAAATTTATTATTTGTATTGCAGTTCTTTCTGTACCTCTCCCCCTTAATTTGATAAAAAGAAGCTAGGTGACAAAGCAGTGTGCACAGGTGACTGCAGAGTGTACATAGCAAAATTCTTGTGTCACTTTTACACCTCCATTTAATAAAATCCCCTGGCCAGCTCGGCAGTGTCTTATTACAACTGTTGCTTGTTTTTTCCTCCTTTCTACTTCCTTTGGTCATGCTGTTCTGTACTAACTTCATGTATATTTAACATCCTTACTCAGTCTAGCTGTTTTCCACATTCCATCAGGATTTTTGGTTTCTACTACCACTACCTCCACCACAAACATTAAATGATTTCTAATGTTAATATCCAACTAAAATCACAATTCAGCAACATACTTCTATTCTTAAAAATACCCCAAACAAACACAGAGACAAGCAACAAAAAAATCCTCATCCATTCTAAAAGTCTAGGGAATTCTATGGTTCATTTATTGAAAACTAAATAGAAAGAACTAGTACTAAAGTATAATAAAAATTTATAGAACAAACTATGGTCAAGATAGTGAGAGTTGCGTGCAGTAAATTTCTGCTGGCTCTAGTGCTCAGTGTGGTTACAGTGTTTCTCAGGCTGAGATTGAGATCTGGTTGGATCTAATTCTCATTTTCAAAAAATAAGTGGGATTTGGTTTCCTAAGGTGCACAAGAATATAAAGGTTCACAAAGCTATTTGTGGGTCTTTTTGAAATCTATGTAGTTTGTATCTCCTTTTTATTGTGTTGGGGTTTTTCTCTGACTTTTTATAGGACAGTGACTGATAATGGTGATGCCACAAACTTTAGAGTAGGAAATATACTTGCAAAAAATTATTCATTTTCCTTTCAATGCAGGACTAAATACATTGTCCATTTTCTTTTTCATGAAATCTATTTTCCCTAACCTGGTGTGGCTTCCTTATCTTTTGCATTAAATAAATAAAATTGTATGTTTCATTTTATTCTAGTCCATTATCAATCAGGCCTCCGGCTGTTTTGTGCCAATGTTAAATCATAAAATCAAACGTTCAGAATGTGTAGAAGTTTTCTGACCATATCTTTAAAACTGTTTTTATGCCCTAACATATCTGTAGCTTTGCCCCCCTGCACTTAGTTTTTTTATTATTTGCAGATGAACTAGCCAATAAAATGACAATAGGAAACCACTACAGGATTATAGGAATTCCAGCTTGTGTACAAAATGGCCTACAAATGACTGCATGTATAGAAGTCAATAGTGTGCAGCTCTATAAACCAAATGGTAAGAAAGTTCCACTAAAAATTGACTTAAACCCTGGAAAACCTCCTAGAAAAAAAATCTTGATAATTGGTACATTTTTTTATTATCTGGAGGTCCAGAGTACAAAACTACTCAGGGACTTTCCTCTTATAGCCTCAAATGTGTACTTGCTGTTATTTGAGAGTATCTGCTTTTGCCTGCTTTCCATGCATTGAGAAACTCCCTAATTATGTAGTAGTTCTTCAACTTTTCTTTCCATCTTCTATCCATTGGAAAGTACTTTGTAATCATATAAAATGAACCTGATATTTCAGTTTGTTTTTCCTTTCTTATTGCATGAGTTCTAACAGATCATGTGTGCCACCTTTTTAGAAGTAAAATTAACAGTGTCAGATGCTTACATTCTGAATTTGTGCTTAATATAAAGATATATTTGTTCTTGGTGAGTTTTTGTATCAAGACTCCAGTGGTGATTTGTTCTAACTTACCTGCATAGGTCTCTTTAATGTGTTTGTTCACCTGTACTTTGTTTCCACTAGGTCCTTCTTTTGTCAGTGAGAATTTTAAGTATCTGCTCTCACTGACTTCAAGTTCATGCTGGAGGTTTACTGCTGTCCTGGCCAACATCTTTGCTTCTCAAGTTGTTCCACCAGGCACTTACAATACTCTTAAACTTGCAATATTGCTGAGTCTAGTACAGACATGTGAAAAAGAAAATTCAGATTATCTGGATCTCTTGATTATGACAAGTGACCCACTAGTAATTGACAGGTAAAGAGATTCTTTTTTTTCTACAGAAATTAGAATTTAAAATCTAGTCTTTTTAAAGATAATAGGATTGGTCTGACATGAAAAGCTACAGACTTTATTTTAAAAGAATATACAAGGCTCCAACTTAGTTAAATACTCAATTTTTATCCCTTGGACATTTTTCTTTCACATGATAACTCTAGATCAGAACTTCATTAATTATAAAACTTTTGAAAACTCTCGTAAGATTGCGGTAAAAATTTAACACTAGCACTGGTTTGCAGAGTTCAGATAAAAGCTCATTCCTCTAAAACCAAAACTGAAGGCTGTCCCAGAAGCTGGTAACAAAAACAAAGGGCTCAACTTTTCAAACCTTGTGTCAGTGTAAGCTCTCTCATCACGGATTCCCAGCTATCAGCCTTTTGAATACATAACCAGCATATAAATAGATACTTACATTTTTATCTCTTTTTCATAAAAAACATTCAAATAAGGTATCAGAATTCACATGCATCTTTACACATAATCATAAATCTGCTGCTTGTTGCCTTTAAATATTTTTCACTACGCATTTTATGTATTTATCTATTCATGCAATAATAAACTGTTGACATAATCTTACATGCACTGCAGAAAAGTACAATATGCTCAGATTTACATTAATTTAAGCAAAATCACTTTCTCCTGTCATAACTCAAGATCTCTGAAAGGGGCATGAATTTTATTTTCATTTGGAAGTTATTCAACCAATTCACTAATATTTTTTCTTGTGAAAAAAATCCCAAAACTTTGACCTTTTAAAAATTTAGTTGTAGGAATTAGTTCAAATTTTTAAAAACATGAACTGCAAGATTTATTTTTTCCCAGGTTAAGATTTCTTAAGACAAACGGCAGTTCTGAGTTTTAAGAATCAAAACATCTGGTTAATATTAAATATTAAAATATTAAAACAGTTGCACACTGTAAATAATGATCAATATTGTAATTTGTACTAGCTTGCATTAGCACAGTGTTCACTATCAGCAGCCTGTCAAAGTAGGCATTTCCTACATATTTCCATTGCTGCAATAACCTAGTTACTAATTCTTACTAATTTTACTTAGTAATTTTCTCCCAGGTCATAACAGTGGGGCAAACCATGCTCTGACATCTTAAAATCATTAAGAAGCATTGATTGTGGAACCAGACAGACAATTTGCAACCTCTCTGTGCCAAAGAACATAGTACAGGGGATGAAAAAGATTTTTTATACCCTCTTTCTCCAAAAGAATTGAAAGGGAGTGTGTAACTCAGGAAGGCAGAGCTTTTAAGTTCCAGCCTTTTCATTTTTCCCAGATGGCCAGAATTACTAATCCTCTAAAATTTTAAATCACTGGAAAAGTTTCTGTAGAATAAAAAGAGGAGTTAACAATGTGGGGTGAAATGATGAGACATCTTTGATTTCCTAGGATTTACTTCAGCAACCCATGATTTGCCTCATGTTTAATCCATAAGAAAGTGTCTTGATGACAGCTGTTAGAAAGCAGGCTTGAACCTTTTGTATTTAAACAGTTAGTTTTGATGCTGGTTTATGTTAAGGATTTGTTGTTGTTGTTGTTTCTAAGTGAGTCTTAATACTTATCAAGTGTTTTTTAGAGGCTAATAATTTAACAATTTATGACTGACAGAATTATTTAATCCTCCAGGCTTCTGAATTACAGCTTATGTCTTCTGCCCCGTGGCATACGACACCCACCTTCCGGTGACATTTTCCCTTCTGTGTCCAAAGATAAACACGGAACTGGAAGTGCCAGCATTCAAGCCTGCAGTGCTGTGCTGGCCAAGGGTGGCATCTGTTACATAGGAGACTTGAGTTCATATAAAAAGGATAAACTTGAACTTCTACAGTCTGGTAATCTCCCACTCCTAATGAGGGGACAGAACTAAACAATGTGCAGATTTAAGGCTAGGTTTGCTCCCCAGCTTATGGCCCTCAAATGCTGCAAAAATCTGTACTCTGTTTTTAATGGGTCTGTGTAGGACACAAGGACAAAAAAGCCAAGGTCCTGTAAACTTAAATCTGCTACATTACAGACATTCATTAATCATAACAATCCAGCAAAATCATAATCATGACTGAATTCAGATGTGTGTGGGACTAGAATTTATAGCTAAGCTCAATCCATCACGTAACTGATGAATTTTGTCTTATCCTAGTGCTAGAGAGCAGAACAACAACAGTGTTTATTCCTGGGAAGAAGTATGGAGAAGAGGCTGACCAACAAGTCACTGTTTCAGTTCAGACCAACTTCTGGTCCTTTGTAGATGTGGACTCTTCCTCAAAGAAACATATACAAAAGGAGAACTTTCTAATAGGACAGATGGTAAAGCACATGCCTTGTTCTGAGAGGAACTGTGCTATAGCTGTCACTGGTGTTTATTTCCACCAATAAAATAATGAAAACAATAAAACTTGTTAGGAGTTCCCAGAAAGTCACAACTTAAGTAACTTTAAATCAAGTATCTTCTAAGATGAGATAGCTTTCCCAAAAAAGTAGGTGTCATTCAAACATTTTACCAAGTAGTACAGGTAATTCATTAGATAATCTTGCAGTATAAGTGGATATAGGATATTTCAGATATAAAACACTATGATGCTTATACAAGTCAAACCCCCAAAATAAAGATATAGATGTTTTCTTTCTGTGGATCTTTTCCCTAGGATGTGAGTTTGATTCCAGTTAACCTTGTAGATGGGTTTGGGCTCTTGATCTACAATGAGTTTCCTTCCTGTCGCCTGTCTTCTCCTGTTGTCCATCATATCTTGAAAAAAGCCATTCATCCTGAAGCCATGCTGTACAAAGTTTCACAGCAGTTCAGGACCCAGGACTATGAGGAGGTAACAAATTATATACAAAAACTTAGAAATGCATTATATTTGTGAATATTATACTGAGTTTGGCATCAGAAAGCTCTCTCTGCTGTCTGGTTACTTTTAATACTAACTTTCTGCCCTTTCCCCCACTATATTTCCACTAGCATTCTTAGGATCATTGACAAAAGCAGCTTCAGATCTTGACAAGGCTCAGTGTAATAAATACAGTTTGAGCTTGTTTTTGGAAAACATTCTACATTAACTTTCATATAAGAACAGATCTCCAGTATCTATTTTTGACCAAAAAGTTTACAACCACCAGTAGAAGATAACATTGAAATCTAATTAAATTGTCAATAGCTGTAGCATAACTAACAGATGATTCCTCCTTGAAGTGTTCACAAGGCTAGGCTGAATGGGGCTCTGAGCCACATGGTCTGGTGTAAAGTGTCCCATTGGAGTAAAGTTGGAACAGGATAACCTTTAAGATCCTGTCGAACCCAAACTATTTTATAATTTTGTTTACTATCCAAGATGTGTCCTTATTATTATCCTTCATCTTTTTCTTATTCAGTATAGCCAAATGGTGACAACTGTCTCTACTAGTAAAGATATTTGTAGAATATATTGTCCAGCCTGTATTACTATGCCACTGGTATATTAAAAGGTGTGAAAAAAGGTCAATTCCTTATTTTCCTGTTAAATATTTAAAGTTCATGCCCTCTCTCTAGTTTATTTTGTTTGCTAGGAATCTTCATGTTGAACTGAGTTCAGAAGCAGAAAGTCTCATTCAGGGCTATTATCTTGCAAGTCGTAGGGTGAGAAGAGATTCCATTCATGGATCAACATTATCAGCCTCTGCTCTAAAAATTCTGTATGTCCTACTTCCCATTTTCAAAGAGAAACTGTGCTAATCTGCTCAGGAGCTTGTTTAATAAAAAGCTACGTAAGATTCATGTTTTGAAAAGTTCAAGCATAAACAATCTTACTATTTATGAATGCAATTTATTTTATATATTGACACTGTTAAAAGAAACCCAAGTTCAAACAACTTTGCCAGGCAAAAAAAAAAAAAAACCAACCCAGGTATTTACAAAACATGCATTATTAAAGCTATCTAGAAAAAAATGGGATTTAAATATGTACAGCTTTATTATGGGAGGAAAAAAAAGTATTAATGGATAACTTGGATAATGCCAAGTTCCACTTTTTAGCACAAAAAATTCATACATAATATGTGTTTTGTTCATGGTAAGTGTAACTGCACAGCTAAAATACAAAAAAGACCACCCCAGTGTTAACTTAATTTACACAAATGCTTGATACAAGGCAATACACATTGTGTTCATGCTTGCAGTTATTTTTTATTTCTGACATGCTTCTATTGATCTCTTAGGATTGCGCTGGCTAAGGCTCATGCCAAGCTCAGTTTAAGGCAGAGAGTACTTGAGGAAGATGCAGTGATTGCGGTCTTGTTGCTCGAGTCATCGCTGACCCTGAAACACGGTAAATAATGCACAACCCTTCCTTAGCCTTGGGTGCATCACTGTCACATCTGCCAGTCTGAGCAAATTCTACATCCAGTGATTGCAATAGCAGGTAATTTCAAATCAAAACCCAGAACTTCCACTGCTCAAGACTGGTACTGGAGAAGTCTGTCAGTCTGTCTCAGTGCTGTATGGAATGAGGCCACAGGCCAGCACCAAGTCTGTCCTTCATACCGGTTTATTTAAGGCATTGCTCTTCTAACACTGGCTCAGGTTAAACCAAGGACAGATTTCCCTCCCTGGGGAAACAAAAAACATTGGACTTTTTTTTATTTGTTAAGCATCAGCCATTATTTGTTCACACACAGATTTGGAAGCAAGGTAAGAATTATGATCTAGGATTGCATTGCTACATAATTTGCATCACAGCTGTTTTTTCCCCCAAAGTACTGGCAAATATCAAGTCTTACAGCTTAATTTCTTCTTTGCCTAGGCACATCTCCACTGTGTGTGGCACCAAATCCTGTATTTCCATTTGACCTCAGTGATGAAAACTCCCTGCAACAGAGAGATATTTACCTCATGCAGTGCCACCATCAACTGCTGAAGTTTATTTCTGCCTATAGCCCAGGAATTCACATTAACACTAATGAAGAGTAAAAACTCCCCTTTAAGTAAAGCCTGAGGCTTTGGTTTTTTGAGAGGCTGCAGTTAGAAATCCAAAATTACTAAAAACTTAGAAGATAGTTCAGTGATGTTTTACCAAGGAATAAAGCATAGCTGACAGGACTTGAATTACAAATTTTTTGAGTTATTTGAAGGCAGGAGGGATGTCTTCATCCTGGAAAGCCATGGCTTCAGAATACAGCCCCAACCAGGGCTCTGTATTCTCTTCCAAGCTACCACTCTCCATTCACAGCTAAGCAAGGAATAATTTAGGATTCAGGATTTTTAATAAGATTACAACTATAAATTAAATCACCAGTTCAGAATTGAATGTTTCATTTCAGCAGTTTTTCTTGTTGCTTCCTTTCAAATGTATCACTCACCAAAAGGGTTAAGGAGTTTTTAAAACATGAAAAATCTTCTTTTCATAGTTTAAGTCATGTTGTATGCTAAGTCAAGTTTACTTACTCATGTTGTATAGATTTTGAAATGTATAAAAGTATGATCATACTGCTTCATGTTCTGTGTCTTTTTTTACACTACAGCAACACAAGATTAGGCAAGGATGCCAGATGCTCCTGCAGCCAAAACCCAAACAAAACACAAAAGTCTACAAAACAAACCACAAAAGAAACCCACCAAACCACCCCAACCTGATCCCAGGTTTCCACATTATTTTATATAGACTGCAGGGGATAGTACAGTGCTACAGTTAGGTAAAAGAATATTAGACAACCTGGTAAGCAGGTAGCTCAATGAGTTCAGCTCTGTATACCTCACTGTAAAAACAAATTAAGAATGTGTGGTAGGAGATGAGTTTTTGGAGCACCCTATGGTTCCCCAGCCATGGGCTTTCCTGTGTTTCATCTTCATAGTAAGGATATAGCACTAGGCATAATCCTCAGCAAGCCTTGCATCCAAGAAATACACCTTAAATAAAAAGCTGCAGTAAAGTTGTCCAGACTTCTGTCAAATCTGGACAAGCTGAATAATTAAGGCTTGTGTTACTCATGCCCAGGATGTCATCCAGCAGGATCAGAGTGCTACTGCTCCCATAGCCTCAACTAAAAAATAAGCCACCGAAAACAGAAATCCAAGATTTTATTCATACCCACTACTAACACTGTAAACACTCATTTAGACAATACAAGTTTTCCCACATTTTAATTTTTGCCTTATTCACTTTTGATCCATTTATTTGATACACTCAAAAATTCATACTAAATTCTGAGATTGTCCAGAAGGCCACTTCTCTTTCTAGAGTGACACTCTACCCTGAATTTCATTCCAGGATTATTTATTTTCAGTGAACAGTTACTCCCTGCTGTACTGTGGAACCAAGCAGGATTTCTGACGAGCAGGAAGGGCAATGGAAGCATTTCCAAGTGCATTAGAACTCCACATTCCAGGCTGCTGTTTTCAAGCTAAGAACAATAACAATAATGAGTTAGTTTCCTGTACCCTTAATTAATCTTACACAAAGGTATTACCCTCACTGGCATTTCAGATCTCAAGATACACATCAAAAAACATTCAGAGGGGTAAACGGCAAAAGTCTCATCATTATGCCAGAAAAATTACTCAAGGGTAGACTGAAATAGAACTCCTTTATAAATCACTGTTTTTGAGAAGCAATATTAAGGGGTTTTCTGCAGGAAGAGCACAACATTTAATCCTTGCTTCTCCCCAGTTTCTCCCATGAACTCTTGCAAATTGGAAGAATTGTAGCAGTGCCACAAGGAAAGGGTGGTAGCCAACATGGCCAGTACAGGCTTTCCCTGGATGGCAGTACAGCCTGCAGGAGCCTGAGCACTGTGACAGTAAAAAAGCAACTGACCTCCTTAAACACCCACACTTCCACAAGTGGATGGGCTCTCCTGCTGGCACAAGGCTGGAAGACAGTGGAGGTGGTCATCTGATGGCACAGAACCTTGGAAAAAAGAAATAAAATCAGAAATGACAGGAGCAAATCAAAGTGGAAAACCCTACTGATTAGCTGGCACATCAGATATACAACAGGGCTCATCACAACATTCAGTTGGGTAAACGGCAAAGGGTATCATCACCATGCCAGCAGTTTCCTGCCTGTGTAAGGCTGCTTTTCCAGGTACTAAATACAAGGGAGTTGGTGCAGTTTGTCTCAAGAGTTGTACTTCCATAAGCTGAAGCAGAGACTTCATTTTAACTGCTAAGCACAAAACAGACTGAGTACAACCAAGAGAAAAACAGCTGTTTGGGCACAAAAATGCAAGCCCCTTTTCTTACATTCAAGCCCCAGATGCTGATTATCTTTCTACAGGTGAATCTTACTACCACAGCCACCTTTCTCTTTGCAATATATTCCAAGATTGACACAGCTGAAGTGCCAGCATGGATTACTTTAAGTACAGTAAGACTTACTTCTGTAGCCCCAGAATTCACGTGGCATCTTTCTGCTTGCAAGGCATGGCAGAGTCCAGACTGAGGATTCCCAAAGCCAGCAACAAATTCATCTTGACCTTCACTTTTTGCCTAAAACAATGAAAAGAAGATATTTGATTCAGACAGCTCCATTGCTGAGCCAGCAGCAGAAAACATTAACACTTCTTTGGGAACAGTAAGCCAGTGCAAGAAACAGGAACCCCATGCTCTCCTTGTAATTACCTGGGACAGAGCATCAGCTGAGATCAAGGTTAAGCAGAGGCATGACCATTTTCATACAACAAGCTCCAATGACTAATTGCAGGACAAGTGCAGTGCTCCTAATGACCAGCCAGGCTGGGGAGAGGAGCACCCTGGCAGGGTACAGCCTTTAACCCCAGCTCATGTGGGACACTGGGGAACTCACTGATGTTGTACCACCAGTTGAACTGAGCTCAGCACCCACACCACAGTCCGTAATGCAGGAGAGCATTATCCCAGAGGCTGCTGAGACTCCTGCGGCCCTGTCCCTGCCAGACCCCACCAGTTTGGATCCGTGCCTATAACCCAAACAAGAGCATAGTCTGGGTCACCTCACAGCCCTTGCCCAATTCCCTAAAGGAAAAAAAAGGTAATTTATCTTTTGAATTATGACAGGCATTTGCTGATGAAAACGATCTGTCAGCAAAACCAAGTGTCTCTGAATGTCCAAGCTGTCATTCCTTTCAAGACTTGATGAGCCAAGAGACAGCTCCAAGTAGCCACCACGTGGCACTCAGTAATTAGGTCCATCTCGTCTCCCACGGCACCGGCTCTCCTGGGCATCCTGTGGCTGGAGTGTCAGCCTGAACTGCGCCACCCCAGCGCCCAGGGGAACACAGGCACAGTCACAGCAGCGTGACAATCCCTCCTCGTTCAAGTGACAGCTTTGGCTGTTTAGAAAAGCACCTGAAACCATCCCTGCAGTTCCGGCGATTACAGCCATTGCTTTGACCTGCCATGTCAAAAAATCCCGACTTCCCACATTAACCACCCGGGAGCACTTCTAATTCCTCCGAGAAGGGCAGAAATCACTCGACTGCTCACACGAGCACATGTCTGGAGTGCTGAACAGAACTTGCTCCAAGGAGCACGGCGGGGGTCGGGCGGCTGAGGAACCACACGGATCGCTGCGGATCCACACGGCGGGATCGCGGAACCACAGGATGTTAAAGGTGTGGAACGGCCCTTAGCGATCATCCAGCCCCAACCCTTTCCCGCCACGGGCAGGGACACCGCCCACTAGACCAGATTGTTAAAGGCCTTATCCAGCCCGGCTGCTTTACACGCCGCCATGGCTTGGGGCGCTCACAGCCTTCCTGTTCCAGAGGCCTCGCCACCCTCACCGTAAGGAATTTCCTCCCCTACCCAACCCAAATTTCCCCTCTTTCAATTTGTACTCATCAGACTCGGCGGCCGCTCCCACGCCCGAGGCCGGGGCTGGGCGGGAGGGCTCCCAAGCCACGGATCAGCACGGGCACGTCCCACGCTCGGGCATTCTCCCTTCCCAGCCACCGCCCGGGGCTCCTCCGCCAAAGGGAGCCCCGCAGACACGGCCGGGCCCCGCCACATCCATCCACGCACCCCGAACAGAGGCGGGCAGGCGCAGCCGCTCCAGTTCCGTGCCCGTTGGAAAGGGAAAGGCCGATTCCCGCCGGGATCCCGCTAAATACGCGGCGCGCCGGGGCGGGGCGGGAGCGGCGCCTTCCGGCTGCGCGCGCAGAGGGACACGGGGAGAGTGCCCGGGGGGGGGCGGGATTGGGATGGGAAGGGAAACGATCCGTGTCCGCAGGCGGTGCTGGAGTTCCGGCTGCGAGCTGCCCGGAGGGGCGATCCCTGCCTCTGCTGTGGCCGCGGGAAATTCACCTGTCCCATCCCTCCGAGGGAACGGCTGTGATGACAGTGACCGAAGTTTGCCGAGATCTTTTAGCTTCCTCCATGGAGAAAGGCAGCTTTTGATAGCAGCGTGTAAACATTTTATAGCTGTGTTCCTAGGCACGTGCATATTCCTAGTGTTAAATGCCAAACTCTTCAGTTTCAGTACACGAGGTTATTAACTGTTCTTAGGAAATGTAGCACTGGAACCAAGCATCAGGTTTGAAGCAAGCAGGTTCAGAGAATCTGTTGTTACCCTGGTGTGTAAATTTCTAGAAGATAAAAGCTCCTGCCCTGGTCGAAGGGAGCGTGTTGCCTAAGCTGGTGTCTTCTGGAAGGAAAGGCATACTTCTGAGGCAGAATAATCTGTCTCAAAAAAAAATCCCCACTCATAAATATGGGGAACTCTTCTTAACTGAAAAACTGCTGTTGCAATTTTGCATATTCTTACAGGCCTATAATAATTCCACAAAATACTGAAAACGTCTTAGGGATACAGCTACAGTAAGTAGCTACAGTGCTTGCTGCTCTGATTCTCTGGCTGCCTGCCGAGCATTGTCAATATTTAGTTGTAAACACTGCAGGGGTTGTGGAGAGCTCCAGATTTTACCATACTTTTTTAACACAAGTTGTTCTTAGTAGTATTTTGCTTTTCTTTTTTTCCTAAAAGTAATTTTAAAATTTAAAGTCTACAGAAAGAAGACAACATCTATAAATTCACAATATTATCATGTAGCATGAGAAGCTGATACAGGTCTTGCAGCTTGCTTGAGTCTGAGATGTAATCTCTGTGACATCCATTCATAACTTTCCATGTTTTCAACTCTTATTGTTAAAGCATTTTTCATTCTTACAAATTCAACTAGGCTGGAAAAGACTACTGACCTCCTTTGACTGATCACCACCTTGTCAGTTTGATCAACCTACAAAGTGGCATTTCCTGACTGTCCTTGAACAGCTCCAGGAATGGTGACTCCACCAGCTGCAACTCCACCACCTCCCTGGGCAGCCCATTCCAATGCTTGGCAGCCCTTTCTTTGAAGAAATTCTTCCTGATGTCCAGCTGACCCCCTGCCTCTTGGTTAAGCAGTCAGAATCTTTCAATGCCATTTAAAGGAATATGCCTTTTAAAAACACTGAGGAATATTTTTTAATTTTTTTTCCCCTGTTCTTGAGTACTGTCCCTTCCAGGTATATTATCTTGTTAAAAGCTCAGAATGCTGCAGGGGCAGTTGAGAGCTCCAGATTTTACCATGCTGTTTTCATGACAGTTGTTCTGGCTAATAATTTCATTTTTCTAAATACAATTTTTAAATTTAAACCATGAAGCTTTCAGAAAGAAGATGGCATCTATAAATTTAGAATATTAGCATGTACAATGAGAAACTGACAACAGATTTTGCAACTCAAAGTATATAATATTCACTGGATAATATTTAATAGAACATTTACCTCAGCAATAACAAACATATGAGAAGTACAGTGTTTTACAGAACAGATAGAAAGGATGACATTTGTGCATTTAGTTTCAACTTATTTCTTGCCTAAATACAGATGTTTAAGTGAACAAGCCAACACTTTGGGTTCACCTGCTCCAGCACGTGAACCCCTTAAATGAAATGAGCCGTGGTGTGGTGAGCAGACGCGGCTGTGCCGGGGGAGCAAACACAGGCTGAGCGCTGTGTAACATGCAGCACAGTCCTGGGGTGGGTACAAGCAGTGCCCAAACTGCAGCACTCTGCAGGAGGGATGGGTCTCAGCACATTTTTACTCCATGAACATGCATCCATACTCCCAGCAATAGCTACAAACGTGTAGGACTGTCCGATGGCTGGAGCCCTGACCTGACAGCTGCAGTCAGGGGATTTCTGCATTGGCTTTAAGCAGTGGAGAAAGTCTGTGTGGGATTACAGTTGCTATTTTCAGCCTTGCCCTTCTCCATTCACCCAAGCCTGTTTTGCCCTGTATTTGGCCACTAGCACATAACTCCTCCTCTCCTTTCCCTCAGCGCTTGTCCCAGAGAGGACAAGGATCCTTGACTCTGCTGGCAGCTCTTTGCTGCTGCTGCTGGGATTGGTGCTGGCTGCAGTCACCACCAGCTCCCCTCATTCAGATGGCAGCAGTGACAGAAACCAATGATGTGTCACATTAACTTAATGAGGTATTAATTACATTTAAGATTCAATTCCTTCTTCTCCTCTACAAACAGCATTTCAGCAATTACAGTTTGTCTGTAGATACTGTTTTTAACTTAAATATATATTTATATAAGGTGTAATAAATAACCATTTTTTTCAAGGGAGGTTAGATCTGTGAAGATGTTGATGTTTCCCCATGGTTTGCGCTGTCTCCTTGTGCCGAGTGAGTCAGAAACTGTCCCGTGGCTCCAATGTACAGCCTGGAACGCATGGGCCACTTCTGCAAGAGAGGAGACAAGCACAGCACTGAGACACCTGGCATCTCTGCCCTCCAGCTGCAGTTCTCAGCAAAGGTTTGATGGAATCACAGTACGAGAAAATAGGAAACTCTTACTATCACCAAACAGTTCCTGTTGTTTCATTCGATGGAAAAACGTTTGGAGCTTGTTTGGAGCTCAGCCTGGATATTTGCTTTGGTAATTAATTGTGAGGCACAGCTCCCAACCCTGCCATGTCAGTCAGCCTAGCTCCGTTTGTGTCACAGATGTTCTGTTAGTAGAATAAAACAAAGAATTCCCTCTCAAGGCACCAGGGATGCTACAGGGATACACCTGCACCTGCAGGGATTGCAGCCCCATGTGCACAGCCATCCCTGCTGGCTGAGCCCCACAGCACCACAGGGACTGCTGCTGAAGGCTGTGAGCCTAAGGGAATTCAATGTAATTGCACCCTGGCAGTCTTCAGCACTCTCAGCATCTTGTTCTTGTCAGCTCCAGCTATTTCAGATGACGCAGCTCATCTTTACACTCGCTGATTTTTGGAATCATCAGTTGGTCTTGGTGTTAAATATTTATTCTGACAGCTTGAGTTTCTAACCCCAGCAGGTTTCTCACTGCAAGCAGCCCTGTGGTGCAGGTGGCTGCAGCTGGGCACCCACAACTTGGGAGGGTGTGGGATCTCAGTCTCTCAGAACTGGGGGGCTCAGGAGTCCTGGAATGTTGCCAGAAATGTCTGGTGGCTGGACTTTGATCCCACATGGGAGATGACATCAGTATGAGGATAGGAGGATTTCACTGGGGTGAACGGTGAAGGGATAAGTTAATTGGAGTGTGAGATACAGGGTTTAAGATCCCTGTACAGGGGGGTCTAGAGAGGCAAGATGGAGGAATTGGGGCGTGCCCTTCTCCTTCTTCTTCTTCCTCTAGGCCTCCATCTTCTGTGGTGGAGTTGGCACTCCAGGATTGGACCTTACTAGAGGAACACTGGTTAATAAGGGTAGAGGGTATTGGAGAAAAATGATAAATATTGTATACGTAACTCCGGGTATAAAGATAGGTGGCCGCCCCAGGGGCTCTCAGTGTGTGCCCATGGCTGACTGCTGAGCAGAACTCTGTCAGGCCAAGAGAAAATCTTTTAGATAAGCAATTAATAAACACCGAGACCGAGAACAATTCTGAAGCTTCCTCTCGTCCTTTCGAACCCCGGGGGCCCAAGGCCATCTTTGGGCTTTTCCCAGACCATCTAAACAGCACCCAAAATCCGACAGGAGGGAGCATCCAGCTCCGTTTGCTGTGCCAGGGTCACTATTAGAGAGGCGGGTGCTCGAAGAGACAACTTGTTACACACATTGGATGCAGAAATGCCTGAAATGCAGCTAGCACATTGTTCCAAAAGAATGCAGTTTTTTAAAGACTCTCTTGGGAACAGACTGGCACCTTTCCTGTGGGTAAAGGACACTTAATAATACTGCAGATAAATCTCAGCTCTTCTGTTCAAAGACCTAAAGCAGCAGCATATTCTCACTTAGAAAGACTGTGTGATCTCATTCAGCAATTTCATTTTCAAGTGTGATGTTAAGAGTTTGTCACCAATAAACCATCCAAGTTCAAAGTCATTAACCATATTTTTCAGTGTACACACAACTGTACTTGAATATTTAACTTTCCTCACTATTTGCATTTACTATGCTTAATGTATCAGTTTAGTTAAAGATTTTATCTCTAAAGGTTGTCTCATATCCTGCGTTTTGGGGTTTTTGAAGCACATACTAGGATTTGACTGTGACACATTCATCAAACATATTCATTAAAAAATAATTGCTTAGGTGAATCCAGCATAACTGTCTTCCAGTAGCCTGGGAAATGGGCATCTGGATCATTTAACTGCTGTAATAACTATTCAAAAGTATTTTTCTGCCAGTAGTAGTTGGCAGCTGGATAAAAAGTGCCATGAGACCTGTGTCCTTTCACTCTGACAGAGGGAAGTAACAGAAGCTATTTTGAACTAATTTTGAAATACATTACAGTATTTTTTTACTTAAATTATAGCCATCTTCTAATTGATATAGAGGTTTTGCTTTCTTTATGAGTCTGCTAATCATTTAAATGGCCTCAGAAGCCTACCTTCACATCATACTGTAAAATATAGCAACCAACATTGTGAACAAGGAACTCTCTGTGAATTAGGCACTTTTTAGAAATTAGAGATTACTTCACAAATTAATCTTAATTAAATCATTCTAAATTCAGACTCTTAAAAAGACAAGCAAACACCCCAGTGCTCTCACTCCCTGTGAGCAGAGCCAAAGAAAACACCCGGCAGTGTCGGAGCCCCGTCAGTCAGTGAGCGCTGCATTTGGAAACAGTTTCCAGCCCCGTCCTCTCCAAGAGCAGTTCCCCTCTCTCATCCCCTCTGCATCGCTGTGATTTTTGTTTGACAAAGGGAAGAGTGTATACCAACCAGAGAAATGCTTCAGTAGAGCACTTTCATGGAGTAATTAACACATGGCTGGTAATTAACGCTGCTGTGGGCACTGGGCTGGTGGGGCAGCAGAACCAAAGCAGGCCCAGCCGTGCTGGGTCACTGCTGTGGGACAGTGTTGAGACAGTGTCACCTCACCACACAGACCCCTCACAGCTATGAGACAGTGTTGGGACAGTGTCCCCTTCCTACATACACCATTCACAGCTGTGGGACAGTGTCACCTCACCACATACACCCCTCACAGCTGTGGGAGAGTGTTGGGACAGTGTCACCTCAGCACATACATACACCCCTCAGTGCTGTGGGACAGTGTCACCTCCCCACATACACCCCCCACAGCAGGATCCACCGGGTCCCTCAGGACCACCAAGGTTTCCACACAGGGACCAAGAGGATGCAAGGACTCCCGTGGTGCTGACCTTCATTTCCAAAAACCACGTTTGGATCTACACAAGATTTGGTATTTTGGTGCAAAGTTCCTGAAGCTGGAGGAACAAAGCTCCAAGATATTTCCATCAGACCCCCAAGACCTGGGCACAGCCGTTAGTCCAGGCAGAACTTCCATGTAATACCTCTAGGCGAGGTACATGGACGTGCAATCTTTAGTTTCAGTTGCGTGTCTAAGGCCAGTGTACTCACCCACTGACACAGGGTGGTTGGTGGCTGTCCCTCAGCTCCCTACCTTGACAGGGTGCAGGTATCCATCCCCTCGCAGGGTGCCCAGGCCCTCTCCCGGTGTCTCCTCCTCATCCTGCAGGCTGCGGGTGAGGTGCGCGATGTAGGTGGTGGCCAGCAGGAGCACATCCAGCTTGGAGAGCTTGGTGTCGGGCGGCACCGAGGGCAGGGTTTTCTGCAGCTGGAGGAAGGCGTGCCGCAGGGTCTGCACCCGGCTGCGCTCCCGGGCCGCGTTGGCGGCGGCGGGGCGGCCCGGAGCGGCACCGGCAGCGGGAACGGGAGCGGGAGCAGCCCCGGCCCCCGGCCCGGCCGCCGGCGGCGGGCAGCAAGTGCTGCTGCCGGTAGGGGAATCGGGCTCGGCCCCCGGGCTGGAAATCTCCTCGCTGGTCTCTGCCGAGTGTCCGCAGTCCATCCCCGGCAGGGAGGGTCCTGCAAGCAACAAGAGCATCTCCACCGTAAGATGCCGCGGTGAGCTGGAGCCAGCGCGTTCTGAAAACAAGGATGGTCAGAAAGGCAGGCACTGCCTGTGCTGGGAAAAGCTGGAATGCAGCTCTGTGAGCCGCTTTCCCACTCGCTGCTTACAAATTCGGCATCACCCAGGGGTACAGAACAGAAGTTAAAATCTCCGCAACAATTAGTATTTGATTTTTTTGGCAAGATTACACACAGCAACTTTTTGGAGTCACTCATAGCCCAGAGATGACTTCTGAGAAAACCCAACAGGCACCACCCAGAGGCACTGCCACAGTGGTTTCCATTTATAATCAACTAAAAATTACGCTAAAGGCAGTTTTTAAAACTCTATGATTTGGGATGTGGAACTCTTAGTATATTTCCATATAAACTATATTTTTCTATATTTTCTATACTGTTAGTATATTTTCTATGTATACTATATTTTTCTGTATTTTCTATTTTTTGCTGCAATCATTTTATGAACAGGTGATCAGTGCTCCATGGACTATGGAAAGAAAAATATAATTTTCAAATGCATCAATAAGTGCAGCTACAGAGCACGGACTCAGTTTTTGAAGGGCAAAATTTGACCCATAATTTTAAAGGATCAGGAACTGACTTCTCCTGTCTTCCCACCCCTAACCTTACTAAAGAAATTGCATGATTATCCTTTCTCATCTACATTTTCAAACTTCAAAAGAATTTTGTAAGATGTATTTTGGCCACTGGGGGCCAAAATAACCTTTTGAAAACATCAAAAAAAAAAAAAGATTTAAAGAAAAGCTGAAAACAGTGACCTTAAGGTCTTTTTTCAGCTTTTTGTGAAGATGGTCTGTCAGCTCTGCCTGTAATACAACTCACAGTCTTTTAATTCATTCAGTTCCACAGAAAAATGCAATTCAATCAATATTCCCCAAAGTGCAGCACTTCTTAGCTGGAATAATACCTGATCCTGTTGCCCTCAGCCAAGCAGTCCTTGTGGGTGTCCCAGATCCTGGCTTTCACGTGCTAGGAGCGTCTGTTCCTGTGACAGCCTGGCTAGACAAGGGCAGGAACAGGTTATTAAACCTTTTAATTTCATCCAAATACCATGTAATTAATAGTTTAAATAACATTGATGCACATAAATGGCTGAATATATACATTTACAAGAATTAGCTCTTGATATTGCAGAGCATTTCAAGCACATACTGAGGTTAAAGATTTCTATCAAAGACAAGGAAATGTTTCTAAATAAACCTTTTTGCAATGCTACAATTTGATGGTATTTAGGAGATATTTTTATTGTTATTATTTGGGTAATTAATTGTTATTAATTTGCTATTAATGTGGCTCACAGAGTATTATCATGTAATGGTCTCTTCAAAAGCAGTACAGTTTAGACTGAAATTATTTGTGAAATATTCTATGCACATTATTACTCTAAACCAAAGGAAAAAAATTTACTATTCTTTTTATTGTGGTGTTTATGATTAGTATAAAATAAATCTTACATTAAAACTCCATGAGCTCATCTTGAGTGAGGGCTGAAAAATGGTCTTTACATTGGCTATTGTCTCTAACTTTAAAAAAAATCATTATGTGCTTTTTTGTTGGTGTTTGTGTTAAGGCATAGTCAGATCTGGATGCATTTTAGTTTAAAAAATAATTATCATTGTGGAAATGGACATCAAGACATTCATTTAAGATAATTACAATGATCTTCACTGGCAGAAGAATCTGACAATTTATATTTAACTGCAGGATTTCTCACTGCCATCCCATCAAAATCCTACTGGTAGGAGGAAGTCTTCCCCAGTTACTGGAGAAGTCTGGATTACCCAAGGATAGGGATAGACTGGGTTAGCAAAAATACCTGCTCCTCTACTGAAATACAGGACAAGGGCTGCTTTACACACACTTTGATTTTGCTGTGCTGGTGTGTAACCACATTTAGAACTGAAATTACATTGAGTGACATACAGTACATAGTAATGCCCATACCTAAAAACCTCATCTCCTTTGGTGCCCTTGGAAATAGGAGTTTCTGGTTTAGGAGCTTCTCATCTATATCTGATAAAATCCTGTGGAAAAAAAAAGTACAAAATTTCAGCTGTGGAAATGAGAGATTTCACTCTGAATTAAATTTCTCTGAATTAAATTTCTAAATTAAATTTGATGGGAAGCTGTCAGGCTTCCCATCAAACACAAACAGAAGATGGCCTGGGAAAATCTGCTACACCAAACAAAGGATCTGCTGTAGGTATGTACATAAGCGTAGCCAAATCATGGTGGTTCCTGGATCCACAGCCAGCATCACTTCTGATGCTCTCTGGGACTGGGCAGCATCATTCTTCTCCCCGGAGTAATCAGGACATCCATTCCAGGTGCTTCAAATTCAGGCGTTGCCAAAACCTCATGGTCCAAAAAATGCTGCTAAAAACTAAAGTAAATGAAAAGCCTCTGGGCAACAGCCATTTTGCCTTTTAAAATTTTACAAGAAAAATGTTTGGTTTTTAAAATAATCACAGTAATTTTTGCAAGCACCCACTTGCCACCTGGTATGCTGAGAGAGTTGAGGACAGGGCTGTGAAAGTAAGTTAAAGTATTTATGTTGTTTCTAAAGCACTTCTAGTGCACTGTTTCTAATGCATGCAGATGCATTTGTGTTTTTACATGACACTACAAAGACATGATTGGCTTGACATCTTTTACCAAAAAAAACCCCAGCACAACACTTATTTTAGTCTTATATTCTGTGTGAATGAAATGGCGATGAAGGCAAGCTGCCCACGCAGACAAGGAGAAGATGGAAAACGCCAGAGCAGAGCGCACAAACTCAAAACAAACAGGTGGAAACTTTAGATAAACTTTTCCGTTGCTCCTTAGGGGGCAAAACACGGTGAATCCGAATTATTTTGCGTCGGGTTTAAAAAGGCCTTGCCCTCCGTGTAACTCCGGTAACAAGTACCGAAAGCCCTTTCTCCGGCGCAGAGAAACAGGAGCTTGCTGTCGCTGTGCGGGGGCAGCACCGGCGCTCACGGCCCCGCCGGCTGCGGCGTCCCGGTCCCGCATCCCGGCTGCCCGGCAGGACCCCGCGGTGCCCGCCCGGGGATGAACTTACCGCTCCCGCCCGCTGCCGGGTTCCGGCGCCTCCTTCCCTTCCCGTCCCGTCCCGTTCCCGTTCCCGTCCCGCGGTGTTTTTAAGCCGTCGCGGCCGGTGGGTGCGGCGGGGCTGTGTCGCACCTGATCCCCGGGCTCCCCCCTCCAGCCTGGGCGACAGCGACCGCCCCTTCCCGGGCGGGTGGGTCATCAATCACGGAGCTGTCGGGGCGGCATCGCCTCCCGCTCCCCTCGACCCCCGCCCTCCCCCGGCCCGGCCCCGGCTCCGTGCGGGTCCCGCCGCTCGCCCCGCTCGCGCTGTTTTTCTTAGGATAAAGTAACGGTTTTGCCGGAGGAGAGAAATTTAATCGCTGGGCTGGGAGCTCGGGCGATGCCCTGTTCAAAGCGAGTCCTTTCTCTTCGCTCTGCCGCCGCATCTCCGGCTCGCGGACGTTCCCGGGCGGAGCGGCTCCCCCGGGCGAGGCTCCGTCCGCAGCCGCGGGGCAGCGGGTCCTGGCTGACGGGCACGGGATGGAAACACGAACGGGGTGGAAGAGGCGAGCCCGGGCGGGCAGAGAGAGGGGATTTAACCGGGAACGGGGAGCGATTAGAAATCAGTAACGCTAATGAGAAGGGACAGTCAAAATAAATACCGGGGTATGGAATTAGCCCAGAATAACATTTTGAACGAAGCCCGATTGTGCGATAAGAGAGACACAATAAATCAAGCCTCGGGAGCAGTGGAAAAACAAAGTCTGAGCGACTCGTTACCGGGTTTGCCGCCAAGAAAATTAAGGACTTTAAGTTTAGCGCTAATTGGAAGTCCCGGGAAGGTGGGAGCCCGGTGAGACCCGGCGGGGCGGGAGCGGCGCAGAGGGAGCCGGACATCTGCCTCCATCCCCGCCCGGCCCGGCCCGGCCCGGCCCGGCAGCGCCCGCGCATCCCAGCCAAACTGCCCGGCCCGAGAATTTCACCAGCGCCGCGCTACGGGAGCGGACGGGACCTGGCCCGCCCGGCCCCGCCGCGATTTCTGCCCTCTGGCTGACATCCACAGCCCTGAGCAGCCGCCTCCGCCGGGCCGAGAGGGCTGGATGGCAAGGAATGCTGTCGGTTCTGAATTGAAGCATTAAATTCTAAGTTAAGTACTTAATTCATCTGTAAATCTAAGTATTGAAACTGTGCCTCAACGTTTACCTCTGCCTGGTGCTGGCAGCCTCGGTGGGGGTTTCCCTTCAGCCATGAGGAGCCACTCTGACAAAAGCTACTCTGGTCAGTACGTACAGGGGCACGACGATGGACTTCAGCGGCACCACAGATCATCCTTTGGCCGCCAGGGTGCAAAGGAATGAAGACACTGCTTCTCTGGAGGACAGTGGAGGAGCCTCCCAGCAGCCCTGATAAGCCATGGGGTTTTTTGGCCCCAAGGTTTCCAGGGCTGCCTCCAGTCCAAGTGAGCATTGCTGAATCCTTTCTGCAGTCAAAACCTCTTAAAAATGCACTCGACAGACATCCCTCTGCTCAACCAGCTTCTGGGGCTCAAACAAGCAGCTCTTGCTTAAGGAACATATCCTTAAGCTTGTACTGAAAACACTCTGTGATGTGATGTGGAAAAACTGATGCCAGACTCCCTAGGGAGCAGGGAGATTTGCCTTCCAGCACACAACTCTGGGGACCAGCTGTCCCACATCCCACATCCCAAGGAGATTTCTCGGTCTGCCCAGAAAATGCCTGCTCAAGGGGGACTTCTCCTCACTAGGCCATGGGATGCTCAACTGTGTCACTGACAGAGAACTTGACAGCAGGTGTCCCAACACCCTGAGACTTCCCAGCCACCCTAAATTAGCAGATTGTGAGTGCTGTGCTCCTCTCTGCTCTGACTGGATTAAAGACACAGTATTGTTTGAGTTTCCCATTGTACACAGAGTTCTGCCTCAGTGCAGGAAATCCAGTGGAAGGCGTTGGAAGAGAAGTGGTGGTGGAACTCCCATTACCATCTTTAGACAACACCAAATCCACCTTACTGCAGAGTGCGATTAGGGAGATTGCACAGTAAGAAACTGAGCAGTGTTTGGAGATACCCCTCTGGCTGCTAGCCTTGTTACCAAAAAAGGGGTGCTTTAAATGCATTTTAAAAACCCAAAGAGATAGAAATGTAGAAACAGTTGTTCTTTGCTCCATCAAGACTTTCTCCCTCATCTGATGACACCTCCTCTGTTATAGGCACAAAGACATCCAGTGATTATTTTCTTGTACCAAGTCACTGTTTAAATCCAAAGCTGTAACAAATGGCTGCAGCTGTTTCTTCTTCTTCTTTCCCAGACAAATGACTGAGAATTACTTTTCCTGCCTTACTGTCCACAGTATATCTCAAATCTGAAAACTGCCAGAGTCACAGATTTCCAGTGTGATTTAGGTAAGAAGAAGTTCTACCAGAGACAGAATGATGTTTTTCCAGGTACACTCTGCTCCCTTTATGTCAAATTAGTTTCTGGTTTTATGGCTACAATTCAGCACAAACATTTAGGGTATTTCTTTCCAATTTGTCAATTTTCTCCCATTCCTATTTCTGTATAAGGATTTCTCAAGTGTCCTTGCCTGCTGGTACGGTTCAGCAGCTATTGGTGCTTCTGACAGAAACTAAGAGAAGCATTGCTTGTCTGAGTAAAACAGCTCCGGCACGAAGCCACACACAGATTGTATCTGCTCAGGTCCCACAGATTCCAGCTGTAGCCTGGGAGCAAATCAAAGGCAGGACACAGCCACAGCAGAATGAAAATAAGTTGTAGTTCACAATTTTTGCGTCTTGAGGAAATCTTAGCATAATGGATTCCAAATCCAAACAAATATTTTGAAGATTTCCAATTAAATACTTTCCCCCCCCTTGTTTCAAATGCCATGTTGATAATGTACTGTAGAATCATAGCATATTCCACAGTTATGTTAAATGTGCCATATTACAGTGTGTCAATACACTTCTTATAGCATTTTCTCAGTAGTAATTACTTAAAAAAATATATTTAAAATATGTAGTATCAAAAGGGGTCCATTCTGTGTATGTGTGTGTGTGTACACAAGTGTTAGACCAGGGTATCGAGAGTTTCTTAGGGCTTTGCTTTGTGTATTTTGACTTGAGTTGCTTGGCTGTGGGATTCTCTCTGTGAAACCCCATGGCACATGTTGCATTGGGAGTAGTTAATTCAGGTCTTCAGTGTTTTATTTATCAAACAAGAAGTTAAAATCTTTAATCCAGAAATACTCAGAACCTATGAAAAGTATGCGATGCTCCAGGTGGCTTACACAGCATAACCCACATTAACAAATAGTCATAAACCATTAAATAGCTTTAAATGGGTGTGTGTAAGGCAGAGGGAAGTGTAAGATGCAAAGGTGACACCATGATATAGAGATCAGGCAGTGACTTCCTCATGTGCTGTTTTGAGTCAGCAATCAGCAGCTGACACTGTGAACGTGCTCATCAACACTACTGACATTCTTCTTTGGAAATTGCTTAAAGAACCAACTTTTTTAACGTATGCTTTTCTGGCCTTCTCAACCTGAATATCATTGTGACTACAGCTAGAACAAGAAGTATCAGTACTTGGTTAGTACTGATTTCGGTAAGGGATTATCAGCTACACATCTGAGCTTTATTTCGTGTTTGGAATGTTCTGATTTTGTAGGCAAATGACTCACCAGCCTTATATGCTGCTTTGGACTGGGGTAGAGTTAACTTTCTTCACAGTGGCTGGTATGGGGCTGTATTTTGGATTAGTACTGAACAGAGGGTTGATAATCTAAAGATGTTTTTGTTATTGCTGAGCAGAGCTAACACAGAGATGAGGCCTTTTCTGCTTTTCATACTGCTGTGCTGGTGAGGAGACTGGGGACATGGGAACTGCCAATGTGACAATTTGGGACAGGTGACCCCAACTGACCAAAGGAATATTCCATTCCATATGACATCACGTTCAGTATCTGAACTGG